CGACTGGATCGTATAACCCACGTGGTCAAGTTTTAGGATTGGGGTGACGTGCATGAATGCTACCGCGACAGCCGCGAATCCGTTGTGGGCACCGTTCACGACATGTCTGCGCCCGCCGGTACTTGAGTAGATATTATGAAGTTCTCCATCATGGCCTGGCCTCCGCCCCCATGTTTCGTCGCATGGCTTCCGCCCGTACCCGACGTCCTGCCGCGTCCCGCAGGTTGGGGGCCGGCGCCGATGTTACCTTCGCGGCGCTTGACGACGAGGCACAGCACGCGTCCGTAAATAGAAAATCCCTCGTACGAGATGTCTATAGCCAGTTTTTTCTTATCATCGTCGTCTTCGGCATTGTCACCCTCCGGCGCTCCTCCTCCCCCTCTGCGTCTCTTGGCTGGTGGCGGCCGCGTGCTAGCGTTGTCATTTGGTTCATCGTTGACGAATAGGCTGTCGTCCTCACCGTCTTGGCTATCAGATACAATCTCCACATCGTTGTTTTGCTGATCGTTTACCTCGCGATCTGCGTCTGCTTTTGTTTCTGTATCTGTATCTATATCTGTATTCCTGCGGCCGCGCTTGGGTCGCCTGCTGCTGTTGGTACCCGTCGCGGTTTTGTCTACCACCGGAATAGCGGCCAAGGTAGCAGCAGCATCTTCATCATCGGTCTCTTCATGTCTAATGAGTGGACCGAATTCTGTTGTAGCATCGACGTCGACAGGTACCTCGTTCGTCTCACCAATCAGACGACCCGAGTTTGATGTAAGTTTTGTTTGCGTGGTGTCATGGAAATGCTTATGTTTTGTGAGGAGCGCGTGGCGGGTAGCTGTCTCGGTGAGGAATATGGATACCTCGAAATCATCTGCAATGTGTTACAAACTGCGGGAACGTGGTATATCTTTAGACGTAGAAGGACTGCGGAATGTCGTAAGGGATAACGTATGGCACTCTACATCTAATTCTACATCTACAAGTTTGTAGTGATGACATAGAATAACAGGTATTCATGTATGCGACTCACCTTCTATCACTACATCCTTAATCCCTTTCTTCTTGGTACTCCGCTTTCGACTTCGTTCTCGCTCCTCACGTAATTTAGGTAATACGAGCGGTCGCACGCTCTCGATTACTCTTGGCAGTACGGGGTTTCTCGGGTTAAGGAGCCAAGTATGGACGAGTGCAGGATTATCAAGGTATATGCGGCATTCAAGGACTGAGTATTTGGTTATGCGGAGATATCGGCGAATGGGCGCCATGGCGGGATAGATCGTGACGCATCTCGCGATATGAATTGGTGTCTTGGGAGGATTATTAGCTAAACATAAAGGTAAATTGTAAGATGCAGTGGTTACCTATGAGATCACTCCTGTTATCGATAATGATCCAGGTACCATAAATCTTGATAGCCTTGCATATGTGGCTGAGGCTCAAATAGGTAATCTAGGTAGGTACCTATGTACATGATGAGGTTCCATGGATTAATTGGATAAATCTGTTCAGCCTTGCTTGTTGAGTTACTATGTAGTGGCTTAAGCTTTATCGATATCGATAAGTGTTTGGTCTTAGCCCACCAATAATTCTTAGGAAAGCTTCCTAAGAAACAATAGTTGAATGCATTAAATTTTATGATACGATATACTCATGTATTGTTAATATACTACACTCTTAGTTTTTAAACTAAGACAATGAACTTGATATTACCATGCAGAAATCATGGTCTACAACCTTGAGATTACCGAACTCCAAGTTCCCGTATGTTAATTGTGTTAATTGTTCTGGAATTCTCATGCTCGAGCTGACCGTGGGCCAGTCCGAGACCTCTCCCTAAATTACGGGAGTTGTATATTCAACGATGCGCTGATGGTCTATATGAATGGCAGAGGCTTAATCGCCCTCCCGATAACACTTTTGTAATTCATGATGGCCCGCCTTATGCTAATGGTGATCTCCATGTTGGCCATGCCTTGAATAAGATCCTTAAAGATATGATTCTAAGGGTCAAAATACAACAAGGTCAGCAAGAGGATGAGCACAACGTATACCATACTTTTAAGTAACGTGGAACTTAACTTAGGATATATATAGGTCGAAGAGTGGAATATACTCCAGGATGGGATTGTCATGGACTCCCTATCGAGCTGAAAGCCCTCGAGAAATCTCAGGGGTCAGAGCTCGGGCCCGTTGAAGTTCGGAAGTCTGCCCGAAACCTAGCATCCAATACAGTTCTAAAGCAAATGAAGAGCTTTAGATCCTACGGGGTTATGGGCGATTGGGATCAACGATGGACTACGATGGATGCGACGTTCGAGATCCGGCAACTCCGCCTATTCCAGCAGATTGTTAAGAAGGGCTTGATTTACCGCAGATTCAAGCCAGTCTACTGGTCGCCCTCTTCAGGGACTGCCCTTGCCGAGGCAGAGTTGGAGTACCGTGACGACCATATTTCACATGCGGCTTGGGTTAGATTCCCTATAACGGAAGATTGGAAGACGCTTTCGCAATTTGAAAGTGTGCGAGACAACGTTGCGGGACAGCTATACGCCGTAATATGGACCACTACTCCATGGACATTACCCGCAAACAGAGCTATCGCTGTAGAGGATAAACTAGAATATTGTATTGTTCGCTATGGAAATGATGCTCTGCTGGTCGCCAAGAGTCGTCTTGATACTCTTGCGTCTAAGATTGGCGCCAAGGACGTCAAGGTACTTGGGACATTCGAAGGCGCGCAATTGACGACCTTAAAGTATATCAATCGACTTCGTGGAAAAGATGCCCCTCTTCAACCTCTTATACACGCAGATTTCGTATCAGCAGATTCGGGATCGGGACTCGTACATCTTGCACCCGGTCACGGGTTCGATGATTACGATGTCTGTCGGAAACTCGATATAGACGTGGCCGCTCCCATTGACGACCAAGGAAGATTTACTTCAGATGCTTTCCCCGACTCTCCTGAACTACTTCAGTCTGCCCCTTCTGTAAACGAGGGCGGGGGCCGAAACGTTCTCGATCTTCTTAAGCCTCATGGGGACGTTTTACGGGTAGAAAGGCACCAACATAAGTATCCATATGACTGGAGGACGAAGAAACCAGTGATTATTCGGGCTACTGAGCAATGGTTTGCTGATGTTGGATCCATTAAACAAGAAGCCCTTGCAGCTCTGGGTAACGTTCGATTTATTCCAGAATCTGGTAGAAAACGTCTTGAGAGCTTTGTTCAAGGTCGAAGTGAGTGGTGTATATCACGACAACGAGCCTGGGGTGTTCCGATCCCGTCTCTGTATGACGAAACGGGTTCGGCTGTGATGAATGAGGAAGTGGTCGAACACGTTATATCGGTTATTCATCAACGAGGAACTCAGGCTTGGTGGTCAGATGCCCCTGACGATGAAATTTGGATTCCTTCCTCTCTAAAGGGGAAAGGGAAATACCGACGTGGGACTGATACCATGGATGTATGGTTTGATAGTGGAAGTAGTTGGACGATGATGCCAGGTCGCGCAGATGTTTACCTCGAAGGGTCTGACCAGCATCGCGGTTGGTTCCAGTCTAGCCTCCTTACACGAATTGCCGCAGGAACCCAGGTAGACACCAACTTTGAGAAAGGCGCCCCTTTTAAACAGTTAATCACTCATGGATTTACGCTCGACCAAGCTGGAAAAAAGATGTCCAAGTCGCTAGGGAATATCATTGAACCTCAACAAGTTATGGACGGTACCCTCTTGCCGCCAATCAAACGGAAAAAGGGAAACACGGCACCTCAAGGGCAACCCGCCTACGACGCTATGGGTCCTGATGCTTTAAGATTGTGGGTTGCGAGTAGTGACTATACGCATGATGTTACTATCGGAACCCCCGTGCTAAGCGCCATCCATACTATGCTGATCAAATACCGCACTATCATAAAGATGCTCCTCGGCTCTGTGCACAAATCTTCTCGAACATCACCTCTAACGGCAATAGACCATATTGCAATCCTGCAACTACAAGATACGATGCAAGATGTGGGCAACGCGTTTGACAATTACGAATTTTATAAGGGATTCGCCGTCTTGAACAAGTGGGTAACAAACGACCTCTCCGCTTTCTATCTCGAATCTCTGAAAGATCGGCTATATTGTGGCGATGGCGGAGGTGTTATTGAGTCTTTACTCACCGGACTTTTGAGGATGCTGACACCAGTGACACCACTGCTCGTTGAAGAAGCGTGGGATCACCGTCCAGACTGGATGAAGGAAGACTCGTAGGTCCGGCCAAGTTCCCCGTAGCTGCACCATGCTAATAGTAAAATATAAAGGTCTTTGACTCATCCGCTCCACCAACTCTACAGCAATCCTGTTATTGAACCTACCCGCCTCACCCGCGACTTAACCACACTGCGAAAAGATATCCCAGTGCTCATGTCGGTCCATACCGCTGTCAAGTCAACCCTCGAAGCTGCCAGGAGCGACAAGGTCTTGGGTTCGTCTCTGCAGAGCAATGTTTTTGTTGAAGTTCCCGATATCCAGACACAGAAGGTACTGGAATCCTACGCGGATGAACTGGAAAGTATGTTCGTTGTTTCATCGGTTGCAGTTAACACCAAACCCCCATCGAAGATAGAGTGGACCTATACCCGGGAGTTCGAGGTTGGTGGGATTAAGGGGGCGGTAGTGGTATTGCCTCCAAAACACGCGAAATGTCCCCGATGCTGGCGGTATTTATCACCAAAAGAGGATAGCCTGTGTGGGCGGTGTGAAGATGTGGTGGCGGGTTAGTGTATTGTAAATTAGTTGTACGCCATCAAGTGTAATCAATATATACAGATCTCAAGTGCAGCTTGTCTTATAAGCTCTCTCTCTAGCTGTATAACCAAAAGAGGAATTCATGTTAAAGAGGGATATATATAATCGATGGTGTGGGTCAAAGTATACTGTAACGCGGTCGCTGATCTCTCATCAATCAATAAAAATAAAGTTGCTCATTGTGATGATGGAATTGATGTATAAGATGAGTCCACGTTAGAAAAGACGTCCTACTGGAAACCCGGATTCAAGGAGCGCATTGTCGAGAAGACACCAGATATGCCAGCGGTTCTCGAGCTCTTTCACCCCGAACAGGATGTCTCCCGGCTCGAACAAGCGTCTCTGGCCCAGCTGGCGGCAAAGCAGCTCCCAGTCCAAGTCATTATTAATATCGAAGTGCTCGCCGGGTCTTTCAGTTCTGAACCTCAGGTCTACTATGAACAGATAACTCTTGTCGATATCGAACAGCCACGGGATTAGTCTGCCGCTTAATAGCTCGTCCATCCACCACTCGGGCAACAACACGCGCGTGCAGGCGAGTTGTCTATGGCTGAGGTTGTGGAATGGCTCTAATTTGTCGAAGATCATCTCTTTAATCTCTCCGGGCAGATGGCTTTCCATCACATGCCGTAAAGTTCGATATTCTGGGCTCGGCATGCCAGAACGCTTGTCGAGGCGTACCAAGCGACTTAGGATGATTAGTGTCGTTCTCATTTTGTTGGCTGAGGGATCAGCTTCTTGAACGGGCGTCCCTAGCCTTCCATGGTCGATGTAAGCGTTATACACTTCCAGACGAGTTGCGAACATGACACCAAGGTAGCTCTTCCGCTCCCTAATGGGGGAGTGGAGGACCCCTTTGCTACCTGGCTCGGTCATCCGAGCACGCTGCATCCAGATTTCGTAGAAATGACCGATGCGAGAGGGGACCCTATATTGGTTGCTTCTCCGGGAGAACTTGATGAAGTTGAAGTCGCAGCTGGTCCGAAACTGACAAAACCTCTCAGCTAGGCCAAAGCAGGCGTAATGAATAGGGATGTACATCTCCACGTCGCTGGTATCGATCTTAACCGATTCTCCTCCTCTGAGATTGAAACCACCCCCCCCGCCGCGGAATTTCAAAACTTCAAAAAGTTTGATCGGGTCCGCCTCTTGACAACGAGAGGAACGCGCGTATTTAGCATCTCTACGCCGTTCTAAATAGCCTGTTTCTGCCTTGACGAGCCACGGGTGCATCCAATCTCGTCCTTGCACATCTCCTGAAAGCGCGCTTGGGACCTAGAGAACCACATTAGAGAAACCTTTCTTTCTTTTTCTTTCGTGAAAGGAAATATATTTAGATTGTTAGCATCTGATATGGCATTGAAGTGGTCTTATGAGAGTGTGCTTGTTGAATGTTTTGACCGGAATTCAAGAATTCAAGTCGACCTACCGTCGGGGTGCATATACCACCGCACACAACACAAACTGCGATATCATTATAGTTAGGATTTTCTATCTCTGGGTTCGGATAGTAAGGAGGAGTGGTTAAAAGGGATTCCAGGGTCTCGTCGGCATGTTAGCCGGCGGTGGGCTATAGGCCATTGCTGCTGGAGGAGTCGCCTAAGATAATCGCGTCGTTTGCGCTGTATTGTGTGGTAGAAAGGTACGGATAAGAAATGAAACGTATATGTTTCCATCAAGTCTGAACTGTAGCCGCAGTCTGATTGTAAATTGTTATGCCACATAAGGAACTGGATCTGAGATTAGTATCAATATGGGTATTTTGTATCAATACCCTTAGGTACCTAAGGCGGGTTGTTGGAGGATACTGTTCATGACTTTTCTGTAGAACGAAAGGGTACGGAGATAGGAGAGACTGTGCTCTCTAAACTCTGAAAATAGTTTGAAGATTGCTTGTGTTTCTGCCTCAAGTAGGAGGTAGTTATGAGTACCTAGGTTTAGGAGACAGTGACAGCAAGAATTAACAAGGGTAGTTAGTGGTCGGGTCTATTAGACTTGATGAATAGTCTGTCATTAATAGGTAGTCTCACGAATCCTATCTATGAGATGGTAAAAATTTAAATGTGCCAAGACGTATTCTTAACCAGAAGCCGTGACGGATCGAGGAGGCCATGGCGAAGAATAGGGTCATGAATAGTCGGGCGAGGCAAAAACTTCAACGTCAATGAAATAGTCGTAGGTAAGACAAGAGTATAGCACCTAAGGTAGTTGAAAAAATATACAATTCTTGTTCCTATTCTGAACAGGGGCAGTCAGGAGTCAGGAGTCAGGGGTATCTAGTATACTAGCCGTGTTGATGAACCAAGACAGGAGAGAAAGCTCCAATGAGAATGTATAAAGCCATGACCCTTTCCGTAACGCAGAAAACAGATGCGCACGCCCGTTTCGCTGCTGCTATCTAACTCCTATAATTCAAACGCCTATGACTTCCAAATTGCCGCCGCAATTTTTGCACTGACCATCCGTCACCCAATGATTAAATCCCAAGAGCACCTACTCATTCATCATGCTCTCTAGTTCAGCCTCGGGCTTTTTCTTCTTGAGATACTCTGCGCGAAGATCTCTCTACCACCTCCAGGCACCACTGATGAGAGGAGAGGTATATTTTCACGCCCTTCGGCAGGCATCGACTGCTTGCTCACTTTTGATGATCGTGTCGTCCTGCTCTTCTTAAATACGGGCATCGTGAAATCTCCGTCTGCGTTCGCGACCGTGTCCATCACCCCTGGGCCAACGTTAGCTCCGAACCTATGGACTGTGGCATTGGCGCGGGCATCAAGACTAATCGCGCCTGTCGCGTTAAGGTTAAGGTTTGGGTGCACCTCGCGTAAACTCATTGATAAAGGGTTTTGATCGCGTTCCGACAGTGGGAACGTGGTATCTGACGAGAAAGGTCTAGATGGAGATCGGTTTTCTGACAAACTCGGGTCTGAGTCGGAAAAGATCTTAGCTTTGCTGGGTGACGGCTCACCATTTAACTCTCTAAGTAGTGCTTCGTGCGGCTTAGTATATGGAAGCTCTGAGGGGTATTCGTAAGTCGTCTTCCGGGGTGTATCTCCAGTCGGTTGGTATTCTTGGAGCACTGTGCTGTTTATGTCTTCCCGAAGATCAGACAGAGGCTGGCAAAGGCTTTCCGAAAGGGGTTCCATGGAGTTTTGCGCATTGATAACATCAATCTCCATCTCCGAGCCAAGGGTTTGGACCCTGGAATAAGTACTCGTGAAATGGTCGGCGATATTTCCGTATGAGCTTTCGACAGTATTGGATAAGTTCTCCACCGAGTCCGCGTGATCATCGTGGTGTAGAGCGTTTTGCGAACGGGCGCGGGAAACGAAGTCGTCCAGGGACGTCATTTGCTCATGAAGATCTGTCATTTGTTCGTCGACAACTCGCACCGTCTCGGCATGCACTGACTTGGTTGTATCCTGTATCGAAGTGCTGTGCATGTTTGCAATCTGTTATACTGTTAGTAATGTTGAAAGTAGAAGAGCTTGAAGAGGTGCCTTACTGTCCAATCGTCCTTGAGCTTAGTTTTCAAGGTTTCCCGAGAATTGGCAACTTCATCAAGAAGTCTGATTTCTTTCTCGTTCCAATTATCCATCCCCTGCGAATATTGCGCCATGCTGCTTTCTAGCGCAGTGCTATTGCCTTGCACACTCTGCTGAATAGAAACAGCCTTGTTTGCTAGACGCGATTCCTGAATCTCAGCTTGGGAATTAATGAGGTTTGTGATCTGCGCTAGGAGATTCTGTCGTTCCTCAGCCGCTTGCCTCCGCTCTTCGTTGACGGCTTCTTGTAGCTGCGCCGAGATAGAAGTGTTCGTCTGGATGATAGTATTGCTCGCCTGGTGAAGTTGCTCCCGGAGACTGTCAGACTCCTTCTTTTGGGAAGTGATGTGTTTTAATAACTCTTCGAATATTGACTTAAAGTCCTTACCAAGCGAAGAATATGATGTGTGCAGCTGATTATGGAAAATACTTAGTTCGCTGAGGACATCCTGAGATATTCGTTCGGCTGCTGTCGCAATAGCCTGAAGGCTCTCGCCCACCTTTTCTTTGATGTGGTCCCGGACTACTTTGATCTCTTCGAGTATTTCATCCATCTCTTCTTTAGACTTTTCCTTCTGTTGAATCAACTCTCTCTTAGATTGGGCGAAGAGCTCTAGGTTCTGATCGAGGAATGATTGGGTAGTGGTCAACTTTTGTAGTTCGCCTTGTACGAATGAATGCATCCGCTCCGAAATACTCGATATATGTTGCTGTTGCTCATTACGAAATTCTTCCACACGGCCTTCTACCAATGAAGTCACGTCTGATACCTCGCCCTGAGCTGTCCTCCAATTCATCCGGTTTAAAGATTGGAGATCCGATTTTCTTTTATTCTTGGCATGTAGACTACTCACGTCTTTGATAGTCTTATGAATCGTAGTGATGAGTTCTCCACCGATCATCTGCATCTGCTCTTCGGTCCTCTGATGCGCCTTACGTAGGTGGGCTTCTTCGGCAAGACTCTTGCGGGCTGCCTTCAGCACCAACTCGGTTTGATCGAGAACACCCTTCGTCTCGTCAAGTTGGGCCTTAGTAGCTTCGTGGTCCTTCTTCAAGCCCATGAAACTGGAAGTCAAGGAGAGGAGTTCCTGGACTTTATTTCGTAGGTTGGATTCGAGGGTTTCAATCTTGGCCGCCTGTTCCTCATTTCGGATTCTACGAGATTCGCTCTCGGCAGTCATTCCTTCGTAATTCTCATTGGATAAATATACGCCGTTACGTTGACGGGTCACGATCAACTCGCTTCGTAGTCGCTCAATCTCATTTGTAAATTCTTTAAGAAGGGTTTCTTTGTTGATTCTCTGATTGGTCTGGGGCTTATTTCGAATGTTCTTTGCTCTAAAGGCATAGTCGAGAGTCGATATGGTCTCTTCAAGGTTGCTCTTCGCTGGTGAGATAGTGGCGATGATGCAGGTTTTCGTACGGCCACCTAGAGAATCTTGTAGTAGTCTGGTCAATTTGGATTCTCGATAGGGGATATGTGAACTGTGGTCAACCAGCGCGTTGATAACGCGCCCGAGAGTAAGCAAACTTTTGTTGATTAAACCAGCCTCCGCAGCTCTCTTATTCTCGGCCCCGGAACGCTGAATATTCTCGCTACCGGCAAGGTCCACGAGATTCAACTTTCCAGCACTGACGTACTCGGCACCATCTTCGGTTTCCTTGACACATGCTGTGATGGTAAACACTGTATGGCTTCGACTACTCAAATCGTTGCACTTAGTGGCCGCCACCTGTCGCTTCAGACTACCATCTTGCAAGAGTTTGATACCTTCTGCGGCATTTTTGATGTGTGTCTCCTGCATGCCCTGGACAACTGTAGTGGCGTGACCTCTTCGAGACGCGTCGTCAAATATTTTCAGTTTGGCAGTTTCTTCGACAGAGATCAAGTCCCGAAGTTCCTCGTTGTATAGCTCGATAAAGGAGCATTTGACAAAGCTATCGGTATTCTCTGCATCTAATTTGTGAAAGAGCGAGTGTAAGACTCGCGGGATGATTCCGGCATCGTCGGACAGAAGGCCCAAGGTAGTATTCATGTCTCCAGACATGGTGTATGTTTTGCCAGTACCAGTTTGGCCATAGGCAAATATAGTGCAATTGTATCCGCCAAGCATCTAGGTGGGAGTTAGTTGGGTGTTTGAACGGATTAGTAGCTCATGCGACATACCTCTTCGAGTATGGGTTTGACGACATCATCGTATAGCACGCTCTGATCAGCGGCTTGGGAGAAGACACGGTCAAAGTTATAGGTCTTATTGCTTAAGGCACTTGGACCCATAGATAATTCGACCAGTTTACCCTTCACGCCCTCGGTAGAGACTACGACGGCACTGTTCTCTCGTACTTCTCGATCATTACGTCCTCGGCATCTAACAACGACATCGATATTGGTCTCTGCGCCTGCCTCTATCTCGTAATCGCGCTCCTTACGTTTAGCGCCCAGGGTGGCAGCAGACGATAGCGAGTCGGCTGGCGAAGGTGCTGCATTCCTGGGAATTCTTCCAGCAATAGCAGCATGATGATGAAGGGCTTGGTTTCGAAGTGACGGAGTTCTATTCGTAGGTGGTCGAATACCGGAGCGGGCAGCAGAAGCAGAAGTGCCAGAACGGGCAGAGGCAGAGGCAGAGGCAGAGGTACTAGGGCGGGTGCTAGAAGCCGTAGGGGGCCTTTCGCTCCTATAAGAGCGGCCCTGCATCGCGGCTGTCTGTGGTAATTTGATTTAGTGGGATATTGGATATAAGCTGGTACTTTAAGCTAACAAATGAGGTTGAGCTGCGTTAACACAGAGCAAGGTGAGGTAGGAGATTTGACAAGGGGAAGAGAGGATAGCTCATGGGGGATATGTATTGAAGAATTGACTAATTTACTAGGTTGGCGAGATAGAACCTGTGTGACGGAATAAGATCATCAGCTTTGCAGGAGGATAAGGTGTACGGTGGGACGTATAGGGTTTGTACATATGTAGAAGTTAGGTTCGGTCAATATGTAATTGTGCAAGGAAGAGAGACGCGACACGATGTTGAGAGACCCGCTTAAAATATCAATACATTAGCCTAGAATGTACACCGTGTTGCTGGGACAACAATCAAGGCTCCACTGATAGAGCTTAGCTGCTTAGATAAGCTAGGTAGTGTTGGGCGGGGTAGGAAGAGAGAACCATGGCAATTTAGAATTTAAATGCCGGATAGAGCAAGCCCACCAACAGGTACCTAAGGTTCCATAACAGCTGAGGTAATGCAAGGCTAATGCTACCTCATACATTAGGTACCTCATAGGCGTACACATGTGCAGCGTGCCTGACCTGTGCATATTCCATGTACCATGTACATACAATTCCTATCAAATGACGTCCCCAGCGCATCTGATCCTTCTTCTACATCTTTTACATCTGGCAATTCTTTCCCCTTTGCGCTTGTAGCCTTTCGAGCCAAGCGGCTTGACTTGAGGCAATCATACATCTATCATACATGTAATCATCATTATATACGTCTTGACCATATCGACTCTGCTCTTTATGGATTTATCTAGAGCCGGGTTGACGTGCTCATTCACTTGACTTGAATCCAGTAGCTGATATCGCATCGGGTTCCCTGACACATTTTATCACCGAGCACCACTAGATTCGACTTCAACATGTCGTCGCTCTTTACCGCCGCTCTTCACCCTAGTGTTGGCCTGGGTTTTCTCGGTAAGTATCTAATTTAATTAATATCGTATATTGTCTGTCATTGATGAAGTAATGAAGGTGCTAATTATCTCTTCTTTAGTACTCGGTGCTTCGCTTCACGATATCCTCACGCGGTTAAAGGCCGAACCGCAGCGCTACCCCAAATTAGATCTTGCCTACTCTGCTACCAATCCTGTTGGCGAACCCGTCACCGTTAGCCTTCCCGCAAACGGTATACGATTGCGATTCGATGGTCCCGAGCAGCGGCTTCGCCTTATCGAGATTATCGACTTTACCAAAAATCGTATCACTTATCAGGACAAGGACATCGCTAAACCCGTAACCTCCCAAGGAGTGGGATCTCCTAGGTTAGGTGGAGATGCCACAGCCGGTCCGGCATTTAAGAACATCTACCACCGCCTATTTGGTCCAACATATGCTGGAGAATATATCCCCCCTGCGGACTCGAGTCACGGCAATGCTGTAGGCACCTATATACTGTCTTATCCTGGAGTAGCATTTAGCTTTCCCTTGCCGAAGTCGGCTTACTCTCCGAATAAAGACGTCGTCTCTTTGCTGTCTTCGCCTGTAAGCCAGACGGCTATTTCTGTTGCGATATTCAGTGGGAAGTCCTGGGCTCATGCTCGTGAGACTCTGTGGGACGAGATTCTCCCAAGCGTCAAGTCGGCGTTTGTGTTTAATAAGAGTAAAGAGGTCGTTCCTGATGAAGTCTCCCTAGTCAAGATACATGGAGGCGGTAGGCTTCAGTTGTTCAGGAAATGGACTAACATGTCAGTATGGATTAATTTGGGAGAGACCACACCTCAGGACTTGGTAGCGGAGCTGGGGCCACCCGATGCTATATATCGGAAGAATGACCAGAGGATGTATATCCATAAGACTCGCACCGCAAGTCATAGCCGGTCTAGATCGAACGGTGGTGAATATAGGCGTCCGGATGATCTTACCGATACTGATCAATCTTCGGCACACACCGGGTCGGATGACTCCGAAGACGAGGCCATCGAAGACGAGATCGTGGGTAACGTATCAGGCGAATGCTTTTACAATTATTTCTATCTAGGGTTTGATATCCTGGTATCGCCACCTCAACCCCCTTCGCGCACACCTCCATCCCAAGTCGCTGCGTTGAAAGGGAAGGAGATGCCCGGAGCGAACTCGTTCAAGAGTGCTACGGCGGATCGGTTAGTGGCTACCAAAATGGTACTCCACGCGAATGTGCCTGGATCGTACCCATTCAATAGACATCGCCGTTGCCGTTGGGAAATCCAATATCTCGCGACGGAGAATGCAGATGACGTTGTAGACTCCGAAACGCCGTTCGATGAGATCGAAGAGCGGCTAAGGAAAGAATGGAAGAGCACATACCCGTCCGAAGAGGATGCTAAGAGGCGTCAACGGGGTATGGTCCTAAATCGAGGATGGGGAGATAGCCCCGGGAGTAGCTGTGAGTTTCTAGGAGGTTGGGAAGATAGTAGTGGAGGAGTGGCAGCGAAGAAGTTCGACGGAAACGAAGATTCTACAACTACGCTGTACGGATTCCCTGGGATGGTCTTTGAGGTTTTGAAGAACGGATTTGTGAGCGCAGTTACGGTTTATTAGATTTATGGGCTTGAGCATTGGAGTTTATGGTTGTCCCTTCATTTTCTTCGGGTAACATTTAGAATATCCCTAAGAGATTGAACAGCGAGTTATCGCGTCTATCATGATATCGGCTAAACTACCTGATGTTTTGTTGTGGTTCTTGACTGACTATACTTATTGATTATGCCATCCGTTCGGATATTTTATGCTATATTGTGCAATAATAAGCCTATGGCGAGCGAGTTTGGGGTCGACTTCGTTCCCGTCGCTCCCACTATCTGTAGAAACCCGTAGAAATCTTCAAACAGGCGATTGCTATTAGAATTAAGCTGGCACTCCCCATGTTAAAATACCATGGCGGACACCTTAGAGTCTAATAGATAGTTTGTCAGATGAATATAGATCCTTGTTAGTAGGTACCTAATAAATACAATCTTTGCCTCTCTGATTTGTTATAGCGAATGAAACGTCGAGAAATAGTAGTTATTTGAACACCCTTCTTATTGCTACCTTACGGCTCAAGTCCATGATCGCATCTTCTCTGCCGCGGCTTGCCCTAACATCATCGCTGTAGCGCCGCCTAATATTTCAAAGACAGCCAGGTCGACTTTGAGCGTTTTGATGAACCAATTCCGTAGCTCTACAGCGATGAGGGAATCTACCCCGTAGTTATGCAGGGGTTGGCTCAGATCAAAGCTCTCCCGTGACATGGAGAAGATTGTTCCAAGTTTCATCGCCAGTCCATTTGCTAAAATATCTGCTGCTTCGTTTAGCGATTTTGAAGCAGCTACTTTCTCAGCTAACTTAGAACCGTTATCGATCATAGCATCGGCACTAGTAGAAATAGGGATAGCAGCGTCAATGGACTTTATGACCAGGACACCAAACCCTTCGCCTCGGCCGTATCCATTTGCTCGAGAATCAAAGCTGTGGCATACGCCATCCGGTGATAGGAAGCCGAGGTTAGAAAGACTTATGAAAAGATCAGTTGTCAATAGAAGGTTGCAGCCAGCTACAATACCCTGGATATTACCTGTTAGCAAGTACGAGGAAATTACCTAATATAAATAAACGATATTAACTGTATACGAACCATTTTTGATCGACCGTCTATTATAGATTGGCAGGCTATTAAATCTCAGGCTACGAGGCTACTTGAGCAGGCAGTATCGACAGTAATGCTGGGGCCTGTCAAGCCGAAAAACGTGCTGATCCTATTGGATAACATACTACCCGCCATTCCAGTAGCAGCATATTTGGGCAAGCTATCTGGGTCCTTTGCACAGTTCAGAGCATAGTCTGTAGTAAAGCAGCCGGTGTGCACAGACGTATCTGAGTCGTTGATCATTGCTATCGGAATCCCAGCTAAGAGGTACTTAATGTTGAAAATAGTATACAAAATGGGCTGGAACAGTTATATACTAGGTTAGAATATTATGTGTAGATGCATCATACCATTCTCGAGAGCACGGTAAGTAGTTTCTAGAAGTATTCTTTGCTGGGGGTCCATTGCTGCTGCTTCCTCGGACGTCATCATAAAGAATCGAGCATCGAATGAACTAATGTCTCTTCGTATAAAAGAGGCTTTCTGGGGCCGTATCTGTACGAGGGTTACTATGCCGAGAGTCCCTTGCATCATGTTATATTGGAGGTGAAATATGTGATCAGCACTGAACATGATAGGGCTGTGAAAATAACGCGCCACTTATGGTTCCTGTCCTATCATTGCCGCCATCGTGATGTCTAAAACTACAAAGACGTTTAGGAGGAAACTCGGAGGCTACACATTTACCAGACATCAAAAGGTCCCAGAACGATTCCGTAGAGTCGGCCTCTGGTAGTAGGAAGGAGAAGCCGATAATAGCAATGTCACCTCGTCCATGGCGGACAAACGAGCTTGGCGAGTGATAACTATGAGCCGTTGTACTATTGGTCCTAGAAGAACTGGATCGTCTGGATGTCGGACTCATTGGAATACCGGGGGTTTGGGATTCGGCTTGGAGTTGGGCAATGCCTACACTGTGCAGCGATTACCGAAGCAAGGGATTGAAGACGGGAAGGTGTTTACCGAAATGCGGACGTCGAGAAGCCGGCAGTGTATGTGATTGGCGTGGTCCGAACGGCGAGAAAAATCACATAATACCATACTATCTCATACACTGCCCACCATCACCATCACCATCACCATCTTCCAATGAATCGACCATGTCATATTACAACCGTAGCATTCCACATGCATGAATGATTGCAACTATATGTAAGATGGGGTCCGGCCCCGGGAGATCCACGATATTCCCACAGTATCCGATACCGTCTTTTCACTGTCCTTCCCGGCTCCAGGATCTAATACCAGACCAACCAAATTAAAACTTGGGCTCAGCTCACTCTTTGCAGCATCCTGGTCCCAACGTACCTAATCTTTCTCTAATAGGTAACGGTATGCCAACTCTTAAATTATTATACGCTGTTCCCATCAAGCTGGTTATTTAGCTAAAAACGCGCTTTCTATGTTTACACGGGTCGGGAACCAATTCGCAGGTGAGCCAGGACTTAATAGTATTATTTCGCGGCATGCTTGCTAAGCAGCTCTTTAGAGTTTTAAGACCCAGACTGGTGAGTCTTTAAGAGGTATACGAAGCTTTGAGATTGGGCTCCATAAAACTAATCTATTTATAAAGCTGCCCTTCGTTATGAATTGGGGAATCACCATACGTACGAGTTCGTGGAGGGCGCCTTACCAAGTATAGGGGCTCTCGAACTCGACGGAATGATTTCCTCGAATGAATAATTCTTTTCGTATATCGATCTAGATAATAAGGGGAGCTTCGTGTCAATACTTACGGATATCGACAATTATATCATGGCTTCTAATGTAAGCGGGATTCGCGTACCAGAGACAAGACAAGTTTATGTTCATTCTGGTAGCCAAGAAATCCCGGGGGCTAGGATGAGTACCACAGTCAAACTTAGTGTAAGGAAAATCCGCAGGGTTGTCTCGCTAGCTATGGAGATTGAGATTGATCACCAAGCAAAGTGATAGCAAAGCGAAATAGTTATACTATCAGTATTCAAAATACTACATAATCAGCACGAACAGAATGAATAGAATAACCAGATTCATGATCCGTGATACCTCAGGAAACTGACACTCGGATAGTTCAAAGAAATTGGGATCATTCAACCCTAATTGGATTCCTTCGCCACATCAATGCTATACTAAGCACGGATGCAACTGCGAATCCAAGCACAACATGCATTTCGAGATTAAATCCCCTGACAAATATACTTCTAATGCTAGGTTGTAACGGTTTTGGAAGTTCGTAGATAGATGCCGTCGATTGAAAGATTCGGTCGATTTGAGAGGATGTCAGCGAGCTGGATAGTTGATCTTTTACCCACCCATTACCCACCGCAGTGGTGATGGGGACTACAAAAGCGCTGCCGAGGAAGCGAAATTGAGTTCCAGCTGCAGATGCGACCGCTATTTTAATCGTTAGCTATATTATCGTGGTGAATAATCTAGGTTAGGAGATACTTACCTAAATCCCTTTTTTCTACCATATAAGGTGTTAGCAATGTTACTATCCCTATACCCATGCCCATCCCTAAACCAACTAGAACTTCGAGTCCATACAGAGGTGTCCAGTCTGGATTATCAACAGGGCCTTGGGAGATGAAAATAAGCCCCAACATCTGTAAGATTGAGGCGACGAGAGCTAAGTGTTGTGGGGGGACGCGTCGGTTCTTAGAGATAGACGCAGTAAGAATAGCACCGAGAGGTCCACATAATACAAATGGCAGTAACTTTATGCCAGCTTGGAGTGGATCAGCTCCTACTGTTGTCTGATACCGGATAGGAAGTTGGATAGTGCACGTTATACTGACCGATCCGGTCGTGAAAGAATTCCTTCCATAGCATTGTTAATGTTGTTATAGTAGTTGGAAGTGGGGATGCAATAGCTTACACCAGAAGGCCAATTATCCCTCGACTTTGACAGAACCTCCAAGGGAAGATGGGTTCTACCGGACTCGCGGGGCGGGTAAAGTACCACTGGCTGGCGAAGAATGCCATCCATATGACAACCGAAACACAAATCGGAATAATGACGGTAGCAGATGCCCAGAATAACAGCGAAGCAGCTTGTTCAAGCCCACTGATAAGCAGTATTAATGCTGTAAGCATGAGAAACGCCCCAGTGAAGTCAAGAGTCTTGAATTTGAGCTGTGGCTTCCTTCGCGGGAGACCCTGATATGGGTAATCTCTCGGCACTACGAAGAAAACCATGGCTGCTACGAGAATTCCTGACGGAACACTTCGTTGACGTTAATACCCTACGGGTTTCAGGTAGGACTGCATTAACTTACTTGAGGAGAAATACCCATCGCCATGTTGACCCCTGAGATATCAAGCCGCCAAAGATAGGCCCCAGGGCATTTCCAAGCGCGGCTGCACCAGCTGACACAGACGTTATTTGGGCGAGCTTATGAGGTGGCTTCAACTCGTAGAGCATAACTATGGCTACTGCATAGACACCTCCAGCTCCGAGGCCTTGGAACACGCGACAGACTATTCTATATGAGTGTTACATAAATAAGGCCACAAGGAGAGGAAGAAACCGGTAGGTGAATAATAAAAAGAATACAAACAGTTGAACCATAGTCTGAGCTGCACCACATCCTCCCGCAAACGCGCTGAAGATAATCAGAGAAGCAATGTAGGCCGGTTTGCGTCCTGTGTGGTCGCTGACTTTTGCCCATAGCACTAAGCCTGCTGATTGTTCAATTTAGCAACAGGAGACCAGAAAATTAGAATTGGAATTATTACATGTATATCTTATCAAATATGCGGTAACCACCCAGCTAGCCCTTGAGAAATCTTTGAGATCGTTGGTAATAGAAACGAGAGCAGTGCTGATAATGGTGAGTTCAAGATTGACGAGGAAGAGTGCAAAACCTAGCCTTTATCTGAGTTAGCGAATAGTTCCCTCAATGTTTTTAAGGACATACGCTGTCATTATAACGTGAGACTTCCATCCCGTTATATAATTAAATACATTCTCGCCCTGGCCCTGTATAGAGGCTTCGTTTCCGCTGTGTGGCTCGTCGGTCAATTCTTCCATTGCAAATTTATAACCAGGCTCAATAAAAATAGTACCAGAAGTCATTGTAAAATCTATGAAAGGGTATAGTAAGCTAAACGAAGTTGGTTATCTCACGCCCGGATTGAAACGTCTATATAAACATAAAGGTACTTTCAAGTCAGAGCAATAGAAAAGGTGATAAGGGAAGGCAGATATTGTCCTTTAAAAGGTCATCCATGGTCAGCTATATGAGTGATATAAATAGGTACATAACTGACAGTAGGTGGAAGATCCCCTTGTGTTGGTCAGTTGGCAGTGAACTAGTAACTAACAAGCAAGGGATCCAAAGCCCCGGTTACGATCCCACACCATCATGACGCTTCTACTATATGATATATAATATGTAATATAAGGTGTAGACTTTTAGTTCTAATATCATTTAAAAGCAACCATTGGATCAATATAAGGTGCATTCACATGTTAACCACCCATCTAAGATTTTGATGTACCTACTTGAGGCGCCAGACTATCTAGTGGCCCGAATAAAGCACTCTTAATATCACTTTCGTATCTAGGTGTAGTTTATCTTACCATTAGGTTCACTTACTTAGGCCTAGATACGGATCATGGTTTTAACAGGATGTCAAAAGTATGGAAGATCCCCATTAAGTCAAACCACCCTTACTCGGGCCACCCTAGTGAGGGCCACCCATTTCCCATACAAAATCAACGATTTCGCATATCTATATTTAATTCAAGAAAATGGATAAAAATATATGGTCTTTGATTTTGAATAGGGTATTATGTTCTTATTATATATAAAAATTAAAAGAATGTCAGGGCTAATATCTGTAGTAAAATAAATATAAGAATATATATTAACAGTTATTGTCACGGTTGGTAGTCACGGTTTTCATCCTTTGTATATATATACAGACCTTGCAGCAAAGCTGCAAGGGTCTGATGTTCTGGGTTCCCCAGAACATCATCGTCAATCAATGATACCTTTTGGTTTTAGCCTCGTGATAGTTATACATATAAACTTATATATAAAACTATTAAAGGCTATTAATGCTTATAAATATAAAATTAATATTATTAAATAAAGACCGTATTAATACAATTTTTAAATTAAATATAAAATATATAATTTATTTATTTAAAAAGTTTAATATTTAATTTTATATAAAATTTTATTAAATTATTATAAAACCTTATAAACATTTATAACTTTTTAAATAAATAGATTATATATTTAGTTTAAGATTTAAAAGTTATATCAAAATATTCCTTATTTAACGATATAAATTTGTATGTGTAATTGTTAGTGTATACTCTTGTACTCATTTCACCACAAATATTAAGCCTGCCATTTTTTCAAAATTTTATACCTGGTTAAAATCTAATGCCATACTCAAAATTAAAGACCGTATATTTTCATCTATTCTCTTGAATTAAATATAAATATGTGAAATCGTTGATTTTGTATGGAAAATGGGTGGCCCCCACTAGGGTGGCCCCAGTAAAGGTGTTTTGACTTACCTTTAAGTAATATCAGATTTTTTCTGGTGCACTAACGAGACTATGCTTTATATTTTTAAGTTAAAGACTCATCGTCCCGCATAATACGAAAAATTTGTTAGTTGCAGTAACAACGAGCTATTTTAATAAATAAGGTTGATATAAAAAGTTACGTTAGGTATATGTATCTAGTGAACTGGTGCTGGTGTATCAGGTGACCTTGATCCTGATCATGTGATTATATTCTTAGTATAAGTACCATTTATGGTCGCACACACCCATTTTACATAGTATCATCCACTTTTAATACAAGTCATTCCTTTTCATCATCAGTTTCATCATCTAAAAGTCCTTGATATCAGGTCTAATAGGGCTTGATCCAAGGCCAAGACGTCTAAGTCTTGTTCACTAGGTTACGTACCTAAGGCAGTTAACACCTCCACATATACGTCTTCTACGTTATTAGGTTTTAGTAAAGTAATTAGCTAAGGTGATTAATACATATTGAATTATTTAAATATTAACCTATTTTTATTTGTATTATGATCTCTCGTTTACTAGTAAAACAGATTGCTGTCAATGATTACTGCCTGGCATTTTTGAAAAGTGTTTAGGAGCATTTACATCAGGGAAAGCCTTTGCTGGGAGGCTATGACACATTAGTAATGAAATTTACTCCTTTCAGAATGTTACTTTAAAATACGCGCCTAAATTATACGTTTATCCCATGATCTATTATATTCAACAGCCATCGTGACGAGTTTTGCTGGGGAGGCTAATGGCACCATGAAACACATAATCGATAATTTACTATGGTTACAGGACTATTAAATCTACGATAGAGACTTCTGATGCACACAACTTTCAAATCTAAACTCAGTAAGATATGATATTAAGTTGCGGAGATACGATATGAATGCGATGAATATATCCTAAAAAGCTACTCAGTACAACTATAAAGGCTCCACTATCTGTAACGGAGATGCCCTAGAAACCACCAGACTTCAATATCTGGCAGAACCTATATCAACAAGAGGCCAGAACAGCAATCGACTATGCAGCAGAAGATGCAAAGATCAGATACGACCAAAAGCGAAATCCTAAATCTTTTGAAATAGGGGAAGAGGTACTCCTGTGCCTGCACAAAGGCTATCATCTTCCTGGGAAGCCAGAAAGAAAGTGGTCTCAGCAGAGAGCCGGACCTTTCACTGTATTGAGAAAGATTGGTGACCTAGCATACGAATTGAACTTCCCAAGGCACTGGAAAATACACCGAGTGGTATCGGTAGCTCACTTGATGCTAGCTCCTAAAGGTATAGACTTATTTGGCCGAAGAAAGCCAAAACCAGGCAGGGGATTCGTAGACGGAGACACTGACGATCTGCTCTCCTTCGAGATAGAATCATTGTTAAAACGAAGAATAAATAAAGCGGGTGGAAAGCCAGTTCTGGAGTATCTCGTCAGATGGGAAAGATAAGGTACATAAAGCCTATTAAATGTCAAAACCCTCCCTTTTCCCTTTGGAGTAACATGGATAATAGGATGCATTTTCTTATTATTATACTCGATTTTCTTGAATACTGGGAAGCCATGGATTCTGTTTATCCTGCTGGCTTGTTACAAAATCGTCACCACGACTTTCCGTTACCAGAATATCGGTGGTGCAGACGATTCCGTATTGCTGATCCGTAGGCCTGGCAGTCTCAAATCTGCCTAAAACCGTAGAGTTTGACTCGTCAATGTGACGGTATTGGCGGGGATCTGATCCGAGCCCTGCAGGCGTCCATATGTCGTCACGCCTTTTTGCAGAGCGCCTAACCCAGTAGGAGACAGGTGAGCTCACCCAAGAGTTAACTGTAGAAGCCCACTTGAGTTTAAGGCCCTTGAACAGCTTTGGTATCACGGGCGCGCAAAATATCATTGTACCGCATGTCGATTCGGCTATGGCCCAGAGCGCCACTGCGGAGTAATGATACGTTAAGTCATTTGACTTGACCCAATTAACCATGGACGTGAAAAGGCCTATAGCAGCAATACAGGCACTGTGTTGTTTTACTCTATTAGCATGCCTGACTTCGTGGGGCTCGAGTGCACCAAACCCACAAGATACCGACGGCGAAAACTGCAGATATGCCGATCTTTTTAGCATTCGACATCTTCAGTTTCCAGATAATCCTCTGCGGTAGTATCAAGATGGCGATGTCGAGTACGACGTTAGTGGCGGTGGCAGCAATATTGATGGCTTTTAGGTCGATGCAGGTTCCCGCCACAGTTTTATCCCAGATCCTTTCATAAGGGGTGCAAGATAAATTTAGTGCAATTATAAGGGAGGCGTAAAATAAAGGGGTAAATATGAGCAAGATTTTGCAACTCCGATGGAAAATGGTCCGTGTATTCGTGGGAGAGAATATGTGAATCCATTCAAGAAGGATAGCCGACTTCATCAGCGCGGTACTGGCAGCCCAGAAGCACATACCCATGAAGATGACCTAAGAGCTTTTAGTATGCCAGGGGATAGTTGCAAAATGCATCTGTCGAACCGTACCTTGATATATGCAGCTATATCCCTCCCGCGAAAATCCCACTCATGTATAAAGATTCCCGTAGCTCCAAAGATCCGTCGCAGGGACCCCACGGCTGTAATCACCCAGCATGGCTACAATCTAGTCAATTTCGCTCAGAAAATGGGGGGTTTGTTCTAGTCTCACGTATGCTAAAATCATTAAATCTATCGGTTCTTAATTAGCGTCGCCTAGCCCTACAAGTTAACGGGACTCACAGTCTGCAATATGTTGCTGTCTCATCTTGAAGAATATCATGTATATTCTAATCCCTAGAAAGGTTGATCCTACCACAAAGCAGAGAAATATTGAAACCAGCGATATCGTGTTCTTGTTCAATGGGTGTTCAAAGTTCGGCTTAACACCGTCTGGTGGCTTCAGGGCGGGACTATTCAGGGCAATCTCAAGATTGGCAGATGATAAACTAGAAAAGTCAAGGTCTGTCATCTTGAGCTTGTAAATAGGATGTACAATAAAATAGTATCTTCAAGCAAAGGTGAAAAGGAGAACATGCAAGAGATGAGTCTTGCTGAAGAGTGGCGTTTGATGATCGGGTACGGCCCGAAAATATAGACCCCGGGGCGTTGTACTGTGATTGGAGTGCTTAGTATATGTTAGATATTGGTTACCAACACATTCGTGCCATTAATGATGAGGGTGGCGGGACTTTTTTGATGTAGGGCTGCCTACCTGTAGGCTGAGTTGATCGGCAGCTGGTAATGCGTATTGGCGGTGCATATTGGTTAGTACAGATATAAACCTTGGGTTACATCCAAGTATTTGACACTGACTACCAAATTTACTAACCACCTACCTCAGTATGCTGACGCTCGATAAATCGTATCTTCCGCATACATATTATGTAGTACTTGAACGAGAACGGAATTAAAAAAATTTTAGATCGTTCGGCATTAATAACCTTATTTGATTCCATATCTTTGTTCTTTATGCATAGTTACGCTAAGTACCTAACCAAGTAAATTCAAAGAAGTATACCTACCTCTTAGGTAACATACATTCTGGCCAGTCAAATCAGCAATCTTTTGCCAAACAGTAAGTCCAAACATAGTAAACTGTTTAACAAGTTGGCTCTTTGCTCCAACATCTTAAATATACTGACTTTGGAAGTGGAGTTCGGAGTTTCTAATGGATACTACGTAGTTAGACGGTTGGTTAGTCCTGTTTACCGCCCAAATTCATTTAATGACCAATGTTGGTTACAGTACTGCTCACTATGCATAGACTCACATCTACCAACCAACCATTCAGAGAGCGTCTTTGATGCACTCTCTCCAAGGCATTGAGAATAAAAATTTCGCAGTGTTTCATTGCCTAGATTAACCGCGGGCCTGATCAAGTTTATTCGATATCCCTTTTAGATTTTATGAGACTTAGTGCACATACCATTTCTGATCTTTTCCTCATTAGTAAGAGGCTCAACTTACATCACGAAGAGGAAGCGCTAATGCTCCTCCTGTGACGCGTACGATATTCACAAATAACCACTCAAACGGCAAGATTAAACCTGGATTGAAAACTCTGGACCTGTAAATAGTTATATAGCTTCGCTTAGTTACCTATATTATGGTTTTGCGTAAGTTCTTAAGCTATGGTGCGCAGCCTGTAGGACTATGGGGTACCCCTCATATTGGCGGTTTGATAAGCCCTTGTTAGGATTAAGCACTTAAGTACCTACACTTGATCTTCTAAACTCTTTAACATAGGCACCTTAGGTATGTAGGTACTTCCTATGAATGTTTACCCTTTTCCCGAACTATTTTGTATAGTAACTAACTAATGTTCAAGATAAGTTTTAATATTCTGTTGTTTCAAATAGAAATACCCACAGCATATTTATTTACCTTATAAATTAAGTACTTAACGTTTATAAAAGATAAATACCTAATACAAGTGGATTAGTTGATTAGGGTTAATAAAGTACATTAATATCTTAACTCAGCTAAATTATGACTCTTGGAATTGATAGATATTTTTATGAGCAAAACTATTGGGGAGACTATATGTTGTATTTAAGAAAAGGTAGTATTTCATAGCAAGTGAAGGGGAACAATCTCTTGAACGACGCAGACGGGGATGTTTTATATTTAGTGATTTGAGATGGTACTTCGTACGCGGGCGTTACCTATAATGTGATAACTAAGATGTTAACCTTGCAACGCTATTTACAACACACCATTTGATAATATATCCTCGGAGGTGGCATTGTAAAGATACGGGCGTATGAATACTTAATTCGCCTTTTGAAACATGATAACCAAATACGGCAGGACTTTTACAATCCTTCCGGGCTTGGCCCCCACTTTCGGCCCCAACTCGACCCCGCCCCCGTGCTGCAGGCCCCGCATTCATCTTCTGTGCATTGAAGGCAGCAAGGATATACTGTTTAGTAAGCTTGGATATAGCCTTTACGCCGTGTTACCTTAATAACCCTTTATTTAGAAATTTTTCGTACACCGTGCCCTTTAAACTTTAAGTCTTAAAAGTCATACACCTATTTGGAGTCTTTGTAAATGATGACAGCTTTATCGAGGAGATCCTCCTTTCCTTTATCACTTACTCCTATATTAATTATATCTTCGTCATCTTCCAAGAATCCAATAGCATGTAATGTAGTGGTCGAACATACAAATCATGCTTTAGATCTTCGAAAGAGGCAAAATTAATTGTTAGTTCCAATAACTATCTTGTTAAGCTTCTGTCGTCCCTTGCATTATCTAAAGAGGGTAGGTTCGAAGAAATTCCTATTAAGCTAAAATGAAGCCTCCTTCATCTATACTATATTGTGAACTAAGTCAAACCACCCTTACTGGGGCCACCCTAGTGGGGGCCACCCATTTCCCATACAAAATCAACAACTTCGCATGTCTATAATTAATTCAAAAAAGTAGATAAAAATATATAATCTCTGATGTTTTAACTTTCGATTATTATAATAGCTTATGTATATTTTATCATATTTAAAATCTAATGTTTTGATAGTAAAATAGTAAAGTGTATTTTTAATGTTATTTTTAAAATTTTTAAAATTTTATCAAATTACCATAAAACCTTATAAACGCTTATAACTTCTTAGATAAATAAGTTATATAATTGGCCCTAGATTTAAAAGTTGTATTAAAACGTCCCTTATTTAACGATATAGATTTTATATTTATACTATATTAATTGGTAAAGTTATAAGCAATAATATACCTTAACAGCTTTACATATAAATTTGTATGTATAACTGTTAGTGTATACTCTTGTATTCATTTTACCACAGATATTAGCCCTGCTATTTTTCAAAATTCTATACTTGGTGAAAATCAAATACCGTACTCAAAACCAAAGATTGTATAATTTTATCTATTTTCTTAAATTAAATACAGATATGCGAAATCGTTGATTTTGTATGGGAAATGGGTGGCCCCCACTAGGGTGGCCCCAGTAAGGGTGGTTTGACTTAATTATATATCCCCAATGACAACTAAATGAAAAAGGTATTAAAGTGTTTTTAGCCCTGTGAATTCGCCCGTGTTTTCAAATCTTACATAGTCAAATTGAATTAATTAAGTCTCTGTCACGGTTGGTAGTCACGGCTTTCAGCCTTTATGTATATATACAGACCTTGCAGCTTCGCTGCAAGGATCTGATGTTTTGGGAACCCAGAACATCATCTTCAATCAATGACACCTTTTGGTTTCAGCCTCGTGATAGTCTCATTTAAACCTGAAGCGAGTATTATAAATTGTCTCGGCTTTCTAGAATTCAACTAATAGTTCTCATTAATGGTTAACAGGGTAATTATGTTGTAGTGGGAAGACATATCCCAGAGATAAATGCCAGGGCCAGGCCTTATGCTTAAACTTGTTTAGCTTCAATTATATCAAGGGTAACTATGCTATTTCCAACCCTCAAATAAGCCACAGACCACGAGGTAACCCAGAAGGCATGGAGACAACTTTATTATTACACGAGGAACTTTAATATAAGCTATGGAAGTCCGTGAATATGTATACTAAAAAACACTCTTCATTTTAAACACCTCGTCTTAAATCCCAACACAGTAGTTGGCTTAGATTATAGGTATAGTTATTGTAGGGAAACTCTTTAATGACTAAGATCTAAAAACATATTAATTTTGGCTTCTAATTATACCTATCATTTCTTGTAGACCTAATAGAAGATTGCTTACTTAAGGAGTTACTAATTTATTAAGTTGTAAAATGAGATATCTAGGTACCTTAGCATTTTAATATTTAAGTTATGAGCCAACGGAGTAGCTTTTTATATTGGACTTAATAGGCTCGCCGCTGTCTCTTAAGCTTCATTTGGAATTATGAGTCCATTTGGATCCGGGAGAAAGTGGGTCGCCATTGCAGATATGATGACTACCACTTTTACCGAGTCAACTTAAATTCATACCTGTTTATTACGCTACTTTTATCTAGGACACTTAAAATGCCTATTATATATAGAACATAACATTGCCATGTGGATTTAAATACCGTACGGAACCTATATATTGCGCGTTGGTTTAATTTTTTTGCGCTATGTAAGGAGAAAGACACCGGTCATATTCGTTTCACACAAAGACATTACGTCTTGCATTTAAATATAGATAATCAAAATACTAGGTAAGTATCTCTCATTTTATCATCCCAACATTGTTGAGTTGGAAAAGTTTTAAGTAATGAATCCTTTGTTTATTTGTTATGTATTATTGTAAGTACCCGTGATGATACATTGCTGAATAATTGACCATTTATCTACTAGTAGACTTTTCCGCTTGCAAACAACTCCCTGTCATTGTAGTACGTCCGGTATATGCGTCTCGGATGTTGTGATTGTGTAGTTTATCTTGTTGTTACACCGACTATATCTTCCCCCTTTTTCATATTGATCAGCATATGTATAGAGTATAATGCAACATTTTCCTGAGGAATTGGTTTTATTCAACTGTAAATATCTATTATTTGCATATGTACGTACCCATACACTCTGGCTGATATTTACCTAATATATGAATCATGAGTCATGTGAAGGATTCATAGGATTTCATGATCTGTAGGTGTTTACTGATCCCAATCATTATAGTTACATGGAAACTAAGTGCTGAAATGCCGGGATAGTAACCCAATCCCAGCTAGGTTAGTCTCTTACGTGCTGGCGCCTTTTTGCATGCAAGCTAATCCTCCACATAAGCGCGAGTTTAGTATTTAACCTTGCATCGTGTTCAAGCTAAACATTACATTTCCATACCTTCTACACCGCAGTTTCCCAGGCACCAAAGTATAATGGCTTTCAAGACTGCAATTGTATGTGAAGTATCTATTCTATGTTAGATTTACCCAGATGCTAATTTGTCCTAGTTGGTTATCGTTCTAGCGGCTCTTTCGCCAAGCCTCTATGACTTAGCACAGAAGTTATTGTTGATGTACAACAACGCGCCGGGGCGGTTTTTAAATATAAATAACCTCAAGTCCTCTGAGATAAAGTTTTCAGACACCATTAGAAGCTGTGAAGATGCCCTACTGGTCGAATCTAAAGGCCTTGCTATTGTTGCTTGCGACTCTGGGCGGGAGGTGTGGAATGCGGTAATGGTAAGTCTTGTTATTCAGTCTATGCATTGCCCGCTTCTTGATATGAATATTATATGAGAAAGCTCGCAAATTCTAAGCTTTAACAGGGAATCTTCATCCCCGGGCCAACAACCAATGCCGAGATCTATGCCTACAACTATGGCAGTCCTGGCATCCCTGACTCTGAATCATTGACTCGTTTTGAGATCCTGGGATACGAGCCTGGTGCAGATTTTCATACATTAGGTATGGCTTACGACGAAGACACTTCTACTCTCTTTGTTACAAACCATCGTAAAGAGGGCAGGACCATTGAGTTGTTCAACTTGGATCTTGATGCATTCACGGCTAGGCATTTTCGAACAATCCGGCATCCTCTTTTCCGCAATCCAAATTCGATAGCTCTGCTCAATAGCCAAGAGTTTCTCGTTACAAATGATCACCACTTCCTCATGGAAGATTCTCGCTTCCTTTCCACAGTGGAGACCCAGCTAGGTCTCCCTCTTGCTACTGTCTTACACGTCGACATATCACCCCTTTTAGAGGATCCCGCTACGCCTGCCAAGGCCAATATTGTTGCTCGTCTCCCTTTCCCCAACGGTATCGAGATCGTAAATGAAACCACTGTGGCCATAGCCTCAACTACCAGCACGGCAGTATATTTTTACACTATTACGAAATCCAAGTCAATTAACGCGACTTCGCCTACACTTACTTATAAATCCAAAGTCAAGTTCCCTTTTTGGGTTGACAATATTCAAATCTCGGAAAACGGGACCCTATTTGCTGCCGGTCATCCCCATCCCCCGACACTAAGTAAATATGCTTTTTCCCGCCACAATTGCGGCTCGCCTGAGATACTGGCTGCCGCCGATCCCTCATTCCAAGAGTACTGTAGAATGGCCCAGACATTTTCCGGAGTCTCTAAGTGGACTGAGTCAGGAGGTGTTGAGCATATCTATTTTAGCGACGAGTATCCTACTAGTTCTACAGCAGTGTTCGACTCTAAGAGGAAAGTCGGAATAATCACAGGTTTATATGCTAATGGGATACTCGTCTGGAGGGAATGAGGTGGCCTATACCATTTATTGTATCTTGACGAGATACTAAGTCTAGTTGAAAGGTTGGTTTATTCTTGAGTTCTGAGTTTTTAGGGAATATAATGGAGATATAGACCATAAGATACAGAACTATTTGTATTTATGCATTATATAATCCTATATACTACCTAGGTAGCTCTCTACGGGGCAATTAGGATGAACCAGGTTTAGCTGCACTATATTTGATGTACCTATGTTCTTTAGATACTATAGAATTATATACATTTTTTGAGGATCTATCCTCTATATTATAGTTGTATGGGTCGTAAAAATAAGGACAAGTTAATCTTAACGAGTTATAACATATTGTGAAGCTACCAAATGACGGGACTCTTTGTGAGATTCTAATTAGTTAGCTGGCAGACAATATAACATGATGGTAGGCTCAACTCAGATGAGTTGATACAGAGCTGATTCATTCAAGTTCTCCTAGGAGACGCTACCAACAAAGGAACAAAAACGTTCACGTCTTTTTGCAAAAGCGGTCGTACTTAATTGGTCTGCTACTCTATTCTTTATCCTCGTCGGAAGCTAGTTCCTTTGCTCTTTTAGCCAGCGATTTTAATACGTCTCCAGGGATGGTAGCCTTTCGAATTGGCATCTCTTTATTTGCTTTAAAGATGGATAGTCTGGCAGGATAGTCTGGCAGTTATCGCATATGCATCCTTCATCTTCCTGTCTCTTCCTAATTATTCTATATAAGTACCTAGGTACTCTGTGTTTCGCAGAGGTTTCCCAAACTCTCACTTCCTCTTTGTTGTTCTTTAGTTAAAGGGGACAAACGCAACTACAATATCCTTGTTGCTCCTTTAGCAGAATATAAACGCAATTATTCTTTGGTGAAGGCCATACTTTCCAGAAAATCGTATGCTCAAGGAGGAGGTCGTTCAAGCTTCCGATCTTTCTCCCAGGGTGCTGGGGGATGTTGTATTTTATCGTTGTAAGCTTTATTCGCTACTTTGATCTAGCAAATGTGGATGTCTACTCCGTAGCGGGGTGTGTGTTTAGTACGTCGTCGTCTGATGAATCTGGCGAGGTTTCGGCCTGTATGATTTCGGAAGGCTTCTGCTGTTATTCTATAGGATGCTTCATTGTAACTCTCCCTGCCACTAAGCTCTGTGTTCTTTCCGAAGACCAGACAGCAGGCGCCTGAATTTGGGGCGCTGTAGGTATTATCACTAGTGGAGCCTTCTTCTCGTTGTTTAACTTTAAGTAATGCAGTGGAGAATTTTTGTGTGGTATGTGACTTTTCGGTTGTGCTTTGTTTGGTCGATGCATTCTGTTCGGATTTATAGGTTGATATATGAAGCAGATATTTTTCGGAATTGTATGGTTACTCTTTTAACACTATGCGAACCTTCCCACACCAGTCATAATAAGCCTTCATGTTGTAATTGAGAACCCTGTGATGTGCGGCGAGCATGTGGCGGCTTGAGAGCCATAAATCCGGCAAGGGCATCATCGGAAACTGTGACGGCGACTTTCGTCTTTGTTATATATAGCTACCCAATCCCAATATAGAATTCGAGTGACCGAATTCCCTTTAAGAGTATTGAAAAGTTCCTTCGTTTTAAATTATGGTTTCCGAGCCATTACGTTAAGATTTTCGGTATATGAGGCGTGTAATGGTTAGATATTGCCCTTTTTTAACATAGGTAATTGCTTATTGGCAAAGTTATGATTCCCTTTTAAATAAGTCAGTAAACATATGCAAAACTTGCAAGAAAAAATAGAACTGTTCAGTCATAGCACGCAACGTTAATTTCTGTCTTTTAGAGGAGTACATAGGTACATAGGTATTGACTGAAAGTAGTTGAAATTTAGGTAGATAAGAGAGATTATACATACTTTTGACTTCACCACCAACGCGCCTATGGCACTGCTTTCTGTAGCCAATACCAGGTGTAGATAGTCAATGATCTAATGGAGCATTAGTTAATTCCCCAGCCCAGGACAGTGGTTCATAGAAATGCAGCTGTAGCAGTATACATACCTGTATTGGTTACTGTACCATTATGACGGCGGCAGCAGAAGTGCCGGTTCTATACTGTTGTTGTTGTTGAAAAGATAGGAGTAACGTGTAAAGAAAAGGGGATAATTAAAGTGGTTCTTTGTTTGTAGGTAGATAGGGAGGAAGAAAGGAGAAAAAGAAACTAGAACCTGTCACAACTATTTATTTGTGCGAATGCCTAGCCAATTATTTAGCTGATTGTCCCAGTGATTATTTGAACAAGTGGCCGTTTTGTTATTCAACTTTTATTTCAGGTGATAGCACGTGTTCTGTAGTTACCATGGGGAGTCAAAGGTACCTGATCTATTATCACGCGTCGCGTAGCATCTAGTTATGTCTAAGGACATGTGAATGATCCTATAACAAGAAGCTGCAACAGATTTCTGCCTTATAGGAAACATAAATTATCCATGCAAGTTAACAAGACATTATCTTGACAGTGCTAATTTGGTAGTATAACTAACTGCGAAAAACCAACTATTACCATAAAACAGCATTCAGGAACTCAAGTTATTATATACGATCACTGTATATAAGTTGTTGAAACTTTTGTTATTATCTGATACATGTTTACTCTAGTGCTACCTATGTGTATGATAATATGACTATGTTACGCCTCAGCTGCTTCATCAATCTTGTGAAATGACTGTTTCAAATTCTCCCTAGCAGCTTGAACAATCTTGGCATTCAGAGGTAACTCGTCTAAAGTTTGGGACAATATTGACGAAAGATAGGAATAGTTTTCATGCTTAATCTTGCCTTGTCGGTACTCACTGCTGATGACTTTGCTCATCAGCAGCGCAGAGTCGATAACGCGATTAGGGTACGGATCAAGAGCTATGAGCGACACTATTATTTGATCTTCGGGGAAGTTACCCCTACCAGGGCTTGCCTTGTCCGATTCATCGCTATATCGGGATATGGTATAGGTGTTCTGTAAGCCAAACTTAAGATTGTTGAAAGATTCGTGTTCGGCATCCCGTCTCAGTTCAGTTATTTGTGACAAGAGATCTAATCGATCCGCCAAAACAAGCGAATCGCAGAGTATCAATATACCCAAGTTATACTGTAGATTGACCTCATACCAGGCCAGTCGGCTCAGTTGGCTCAAGAAGTGAAGCTGCCTCTCAAGGCTATTGAGTAAGGGGCGAATTGAAGTTTTGAAGATGTTAGAAGCTTCTATAAGTGCATTCCATACAAATGAAACTTTTTCCTCTTCTACACCTTCTCTCAGTGCTTCCTTTAATGATGTGATATTCTTCCAGATATATAGCATACCAATATCAGCCGCAGCTATAATCTGAGAAGCTATCTCGTCGGATATATCAAAGCTACTGCTACGCCAGTGATCCGTTCTGGTATTGAAAGACCCCAGTAGGAACGTCCTGACTAGGCGCCACGCAGGCTCTGAACATGCTCCATTTAGTCCGGATGTTAACGATGTTCTAAGATTCAAGGTTAAGGAGTTTGATGTGTCCCAAACCACTGCTGTCCAATAAGCCCGGCTCTCAAAGTCCAGGTATGCTTCTGTAAAAGTGAGATTAGACGAGCCAGCTAATATATCAGCCCAAGCTGACACCTCTGACACATGGAATTGATGGCTTCGTTGTCGTCCCCTGAGCCTCTGTATCTGTAGTAGAGCGGTTTGGATACATACTAATCCGCTGATACCGTCTAGCTCTTCATCATCAGAGATTCCGACAGGTATAGGAGTCTGAGCAAAAAGATACAACGCGAGAGCAGACCGATAAGATATGCGGTTGACAACTTTGAGCATATCTTTTCTTGCTATGCGCCAACTTTCCTTGGTGAATTCTTCGATTTGGCTCGTGGTAAAGTGATTTTTACTTGATACCAGCGGGAGCCAATGTGCTGTAAAAGACCGAATCGCCTGTTTCAGGGACTGATCGATTTGAAAGTCCTTTTCCTGCTGCTGTCCCTGTGCCTCAAGCCCGGAATTGGGATTTTGGCGATCAGGCGCGTCGTCCGTGTCGGCGTCGAGCTTCCTAAAAAGCTCTGTCGGAGGAATACAAACTTCACTCGTCGGATTATTCCTATCATTGTCAGGGGATTGTTGACTTCTTCTAGGCGACTATCCATTAGACGTACACGAATGGACAGCCATTTCTACCAGCTATGAGACCGAAAAGGGGTTCAAACCCATTGAGAAAGATTTGGTCACACCAAGATGTTAGCAAGATGTCTACCGACTCTGCTTGTGGACCGAGGGGTTCAATTAAGTCTGCGCTTGGCTCATCCAGTGGCGTGATGTGGTCCGTGTCATATTGATCATAGAAACTGGCATTAGTACCACCCTGGGTATCTTGGGTAATGGCAGGATCCGTTTCAGTTGAAGAAGAGTGAGATGGCGCTTCTCTATATAGGTTTAAAGGTTTCCTCTTCGCAGCATTAATCCACTGTCTATAATTAGTCACGCGCCCTTATACATATGCGAAAGCACTGTAAGCTCATTTAACTAGGTACCTCAAATGTACATGGTCGTCTTCTAAGAGCGCATCTCGAACATGAGCCCGCCCAATTTACTTTACCGGGTTGATAACCCTGTTTTGAGGCGTCGCAAGCAACTCGTGAGCGACGGCAAGCATCGCAACTAGAAAACTGGGTTCTTTTTTGAGAACTAGTACTTGGCATCTTCTTTGCTACCGACCTACGTATAGTTAAGGTATACTGGTTGTCTCGAGGAGGCGTCGGAATTAAAGACTAAAAGGTGTAATAAGGGAATCATTGGTATTTCTCATCTTAGCACTATGAGATATCTGTATTGTTGCTAAGCAGGCTTGGCGCGAAATTAGGGGTCCGCTTATCGAGCTGTAACCCCCTAAGCCGATCTAGACGCAGTAGACATAATATCTTTTGACAGACTGAGGAGAACAATTCTCTTCCCACACATTAAATTTTGTTTGTATGCCTTCAATATTAGGTATCCACACTTCACCGAAGAATAAACGCTTTCTAAAAAACTACTCCGTTTTAATTTCTCTTGCCTACTACTCATCATCCCCTCTAAACTACTACGTATATCACAAGAAGCTCCCCACCAGCTTCCTTAGCTCATCTTCGTTCAGTTCCTTTATGCCTAACAATTTATTGTCCAAGTGACTCGAGAAATCACAGCCGTAGTCGGAATTGAACATGCCACATAGGGAAAACCCGAGTGCTGCAGCCTCCATACCTCCCTTGGAGCCTTCGGCTTGTGCCGCTAAGCTTTCTTGTCTGAGCTCTTCTGTATCCTTAACAATAGTGTCCCATTCTCTTCCATCTTGTTCTTTGGCGTACCGAATTAGCTGGTTTTGAGTAATAAGCGCCGAATGGATGTAGACCACGCGATTTGCCGTCTCGTCCTGATGTGCAATAACGCCCAAAACAGCCTTCGCGATATCGGACAGAAGCGAGGCGCTGAATTTCACATCGCCGCCGTTATATAGAGTTGCAGTATGCTTAGGTATGTCCAGGATAATGGTCTCCTCGAGGCACCAATCTAGGAATAGACCGTTGGCAATCGCCGTGTAAGTAAACCCGGGGTCGGATCTGGATTTCTCCCGGAGGCGCTGCTGCGTTTTTACCTTAGACACGCCGACGATAGGGAGCTGCATGCATAGAGGATTCTGTGAATCTATGCCGAACTCCGCTGGGATGAATCGCTTCACACCTGCCGCAGCTGCGGCGTCGATCAAGGGATTTTGGTCGCCCATCGCCATTGTCGCCACACAAGAGACGACAACTTGAACTCCCATCAGCGCGGGGGTTAGGGACTCAATGGAGCTGAAGTCGACCTCTTTGATGACAAGGTTAGGGTGGGGCTTCAACTTGGATGAGTTCCCACCTATACGTGAGAGGGCCGTTACATTGAAATCCGAGCCGAGGAGAGCTTCGAGAATGGGAGCTCCAATGTTTCCCGTGGCACCGGCGAGCGCAACCCGAATTGAAGGCATTTTCTTAGCTTGTTGGATACACTCGGATCTTTATTTAGAGGTTAAAAGAAGAGAATGGGTTAATTCGAAAGGGAGAGATGTCTTATGTCTTGAAAATACCCTGCAATACAAGGGCTGCTAAGTAAGCTGATGGCTTTCTTTTCATCGGGCGTTGATGATGATAAAAACGATTCATAAACTTCTAGGTATCCTATTCGTATATATATATATATAGATTTTAGATCAGCAGTACTGGCACCATCCAAGACGGAGAAGTATCGGTTCCGAAATATAGGGTCTGTGGTATCGGATCCGATCCGGAACCGTTAAGTGCTCTGACGATGTGCAAAGAACGTCAAATAAGGTGACGCACCTACTGTCAGGATTCTAGATGAGACATCTAGAACGACAGATATTTTAAGTACACATAGGTTCCTATAGTTAGGTTCGAGTCATGAGGTTGGTTGAAGGAGTTTAATGCCATTGTGACTGATGATGAGATTATGGATGAGATAAGTGTTTCGGAAATGGGTATATTAGTGGCGAACAGGACAGAAATTGAATTATAATGCACAGAATCCGTACGATAACAACTAGGACGTGCTATAGTATATTATTCAGTGGACGGATCGTCGGGGATATCAACTAACTTTGCATGGCTAACAGTGCTGGCAGCTATATTTACCACACTCACTTAGATTAGGTACCTACCTAGAATGACACTTCCAATTTTTCCCTTCCAATGGGTAGATTAATCATTATTATCTCAATGACTACTAAGAGTCCCTAACTTTGTTATCAAATTGACTACCTAGGTACCTAGATAGGCTGTAAGATGTCCCTGTCTATACCCTCCCCGGTCGATACTGGCGACGTTTCCGAGATTCGGTTCCTTCCCGATGGTTCTGACAATCGGATCCGAGACCCACATTTAAACCGGGCTTGTAATCTAATCCCGAATCCGTATGGAAATATTCTCCTAGAACTTGTTCCTACTGCTTCTCGGCTGCTTGAAAATAATATTTTAAGCAATGATTCTTCCAATTTTCATCGTACGCCCGCCTTCGAAAGAGTTTAGAGCAGTTATGCCGTTGTTACCCCGCTTTTCATATTACGCAACGGGTGCACACATATTAGAGGTCATCATTGCTTGCTCAGATGCCGTCAACCTTGGCATGCTTGTCAGATATCCGGCGACAAGTGCTTAATACAATCTTATGCTATATCTTCTGAACTGAAAAACAAAAATACTTCATCACAAAGAGGTGGCTAAGCATTTGCTTATTCGAGAAGTGCTTATTCGAGAAGCTGTCCAAAGATCCGGTATTGATTATTGGCGGAGATAACTCGGAGTGGAAGTTTGTTGTTCCCGACTTTGAATTATTTGCTCTTCCACAAGGGTGTTTGTCTGCCTGATATTACTGCTGTTCTGCAGAAGACAATATATTATCTATCTACCTAGTATTAATGGTCAACTCGAGTTATGACCTTTATTATTAACCTAGTCGCTCTCGGAAGCAAGAAGTTTCTATATGACTCAACTGTGAACTAGATTAAAAGACTGCCATGTAAATTAAGTCTCAAGAATGCTTATTTCTTATCACGTTAGAAATGATACTTCTGTACATGGACTTTGTCGTGGTTAATTATGGAATTATTATCTAGGTAATTATCTCCGCATTAGATGTGAGTCTCTAGAGAAAAGGGATAAGAGTTTCCCAGCAGGCAGCCATTTGTGCAACTTAATGACACATGTGAGGTAAAAGGGAAGGGGATAATGTCTAAGAAGGGGAGTTAGAAAGACATAAACAGGGGCAAGTCGGTTATCTTATCACAGCATTAAGGGGTTATATATCAAAGGATCGAGCTCCCTTCATTCTATCAAAACAGATAGTAATTGAGATAATTAACAGCATTCCATATTCTTGTTAGACTTCCCTGGCACTTTAAGAAATAGCTTCGAAGAAGTGTTAACCTGTTTGCCTGTGGAACATTACAATTGAAAGAAGTGGCATAAGATCAGAAGCGCGAATTAATCACCTGGAGAGCTACATGTATACATACAAGTCGAATACGGAGTACCTAAGTATATGGATAGCGTAACAGTGCATCGCGTTCCTGCATGACGCGCATCCATTTTTAATCTTGGCCGTCTCCGGTATGTGTTCGGCTTAAGCTACATGTAGTGTATTGTTTTGTATGTACATGAAATTCCCTAGCAAGGCACACTAGGAAGCAGGTACCGTACGCCACAAGTCTTATTTTTCAGTACTTTCAGGGGGTAGCTTCCATAGTCCGGGATTAGTTGGATCGGTGGACGCGATGGACCTATGGCGTGCCACATCTCCCCTAGCTTATCTGCTTACTTGATGTATGTACCCATTTTATTGTACCCATCTCCTTTAAGAAAGTCTCCATGTACATATTTCATGGATTGTCCGGGAATCCTCTTCTAAGTTGTTGACATTCGCCTTGAAATCTTCTTGTCTTCAACTGTCGATAGGAGGGACTACAGCCTTCAATTGCTTAGTTGTACTCGATTGAACTGTTTCGCCTTCTCTAGGATTCTATATGGTAAATAATTGAACGCCTTATAAATTGTTTACTTTGCTAATAACTACAGCTTTCTGCTTCAAGTAGTTAGGTGTTGATACGCGACCTCGAGGCTTTTTCTTCAACTTGTTCCGAGTCTTCCGTATCCCCCTTTCTACTTACAATCCGAAATTCAGCTACAGAAGACGTCACAATGTACGCGTCCAAGTCAGCCGTCGGGTCAGCATTGCTGTTCTCTTTGGCCTCTGCTATGCCGAATCTTCGTCCTAGACAGACAGATTCTGCCCTCGAGCCGTGGGTGACTGTTAACGAAGATGGCAACCCGAGTACTGTTACGCCCGTTCTTAGCACTATCAGCGGAACTCCTACCGTTATATCAGGCGCTCCTCATGATCTGACCGCAACTGTCTTTACCGAGACCAACTACGGAAAGGTTTCAACGAGTACTGGCACCGCTCCGATTCCTACTGCAACCGGTGGTTCAGCTGGAGCTGGCTCGTTCCCCGTCTGCCACAATAAGGATGGCGACTTTGCTCCGTGGTGTCAACCGACCAAGGAGACACCACTATATGTTGGGACTACATATTATTGTATGATACACTACTCGTATAAAAGGAGACATGCAACTGACTGATTCCTTCAACAGTTACTTGGGACACATCGTACTTCTCCATTCCAAACACGACAATCTTAGTCCAGGGTAACTATCTCAACGAGACAACAGGCGAAATCACCGACCAAGCTTTCGAGTCACCTAAGTGGTCCGCATCTTGGGGTTTCTGGAGCTACAAGATCGAAAGCAGTCTATTGAAACACCAGTCTGGCAAGAATATCACGCTGCAGCTTGCTACATTAACCGCGAAAGGCAATTCCAGCGATATCATCCCGGGTCCTACTATCCTAGTTACGGACCGCCCTGGACCTCAGCCGGAAACCGGCAAGATACCCGATATGCGCGCATTATTAATTGCTCTACCAACTGTGCTCGGTTTCGTTGCTCTATGTGTCATCGGAACTTGTCTATGGCACAGAAGGGATCGCCATATCGGCCTCGGAAACATCATGTCTCGCAGCAGACATGGATATGGTGTTGGCAAGAGCTCGCGATCTCGGATGGGCCTCGGCAAGAAGAACAAGGCCAACGAGCGCATTCAATTGATGCAGCGGGAGGTCGAGGCCGATGGTGGTGAGGTCTACCATGACGAGCCGGACCGCCCGCGGCGGGATTCGGATGCTCTAGGTAGCCTAGCCGGGACACCGACTGAGGATCGGCGCATGGACTTCCGGGAGCAGCAAGACCGAAACATGTTCCGGGAGGAGTTGAGAAGACAGGACGAGAGACCCTAGAGTGGACTCTTGAATCTTTTGCTTGGAAAATTACACTACAAGAAAATCAATGGTGGATAGTAATGACACGGGAAACCTCACCGTCACCATTGAACGAAGGGGCGTATATGTATATGATGATGAGTCTATTGCTGTACATATATACCGATCTTGCTCCAGCTACGACATGATTATTTCAGGGGGGGCTAGGGCTCGCAATGACTGGCTTATAGATCACGTTTAGTAATGAATTAAAACGAAATCAAGACGTTATTAATATCGAAACGATATTTACTGAAGACCGATAGAGGGATAAGCGTTTAATGCCAACTGTCCTCCGAGATGTGCATACAACACGTTAGTCCCTTCTCCTATCTCTCCCTTCCGAATCAAATCCATCATGCCTGCCAGACTCTTACCTTCGTACACGGGATCCGTAATGAAGGCCTCGGTCTTGGCACCAAACCGGATCGCGTCGAGCGTCTGCTCGTCCGCGATTCCGTACACGCCAGCATGATACCTATCATCCAGTTCGATGTCTTCCTCTGTGATATCGCCCTCCTCTAATCCGATCTTCACAGCAGTCGCCTTAGCTATCCGCAATACCTGGTCGAAAGTCTGCTTCACCGTGGCAGACGCATCAATCCCGATTACACGCCGTTTCTTAGAACCGAGTTTCTTTTGCGCAAGCTTGAACCCGGCTACCATGCCCGCGAATGTAGAGCCTGTCACCGCGCACACGATTACCGTGTCGAAGAATACACCCGTCGCGCGCTCCTGCGCCTCGACCTCAAAGGCCCAGCGTGCGAAGCCGAGGCCGCCTAGCGGGTGGTCCGAGGCGCCTGCGGGGATGTAGTAGGGCTTGCGACCAGCGGACGTAAGCTCGGTTTGCAACTGTGCGAGCGTGGGTTTATGCTCGATGCCAAAGACGGTTGCTGGCTCGAGACGCGCATCTGCTCCCATGAGCCGCGAGAGTTGGATGTTGCCGACGGAGCTGTAGAGGATTTCATCTGGGGATCCCGGAGGGAGATCTACCCAGTGCTCTTGCACCAGGGCACATTGGAGACCTAGTACAGCAGCTACGGCGGCTACTTGCCGAGTATGGTTTGACTGAACACCGCCGATAGAGACGAGGGTATCGGCGCCATTGGCTAGAGCCTCTGCGGCGAGGTACCTGCATGATTCATCAGTCTATATTTCCATCTTTCCAGGTGTATCTACGGTGTATGTGATATGTATCTACACGCATGGCGTATGTGGCACGTGTAGTTGTTGATTCAGCAATGAGCCATGAATAGGTACTCACTCGAGCTTCCGTGTCTTGTTCCCGCCATAGGCAAATCCGGAATTACAGTCATCGCGCTTGGCATAAACGTTTACTTTGCCACCTAGCGCTGCGGATATGCGCGGCAGGTGCTGGATAGGTGAGGGTCCGAACAGGAAGGATTCCCGCGGGATACTAGCGAAGGGCTCGGGCAAGCGGAGGTCGAGGTCAGCCATTTTAGAAACTGACTGGATAATGAGGTTGTTGAAGACCGAGTAATATTAAGTAAATGTAATACTTCAGAACCAAAAATAACTGCTCAGATTATGATTAATCCCATCCCAAATTCATGTCCTACCCGTCCTTGATATATAAGTAGGTACATATCTCGGTAGAGCTCATGACCGAAGTCGGATACTAGTAGTGGGTATAAGACGGAGCGGAGAGATGCCAATACACTCTCCACTCCTGATCAACTGTGGACATCCACTAACTAACCGCCATTGAGAAATCAACCTATTTTAGTAATGCTACTTGATATAGATCCTTTTATGTAATCATTTACTGCGTATCTATCTTGCGTGATTGTATTATCTAGATACGATCTAAGGAGATCGTGAATAACTAGGTACTTATTGTCAAAACGTAAAGGAGTTTAGTTAGCACTAATAAATGAATATTCAAGATATCTACGTCCAAAATAGACATCCAGAGGGATAGTGCGATGAGGGAGAAGAGCCTAAAAATGGATGGACATTGCCCCCTATTTGCTGTTAGTCATTGGGGCATTGGTCCTATGATTGACCTTGTTATACACATATCGTCTGAAAATATTACTTGTTGTGCAAACAAACGTGCTAGCTTTGATTGTTGAGGTTAGTCATATTAGCATTCCATCATATGCTACAGTGAATGTATTTGTGAGAGGTATATATCAATAGAGTGTTCACCATTTCTTGCTCACCGGACCAGTCATAGTCATAGCAAAGCTTTGAAATTTATTCGACAGAATATTCAGGTGCAAGTTGATTGGCGCAATGGAATAATAGAAGGGTGAAGTTGCCTAGCCATTGTTGAGTACTTAAAGTGACTTGACCCCCTAAATTCACATGTAGGCCACAGGGGATGACTTGCTGCCTTATATAGCCAACTTGCAAGAAAACATTCCTAAGAACCACTCAGAATCGAGGTATATAATGTAGCTACCTAATTAAGTAGTCGTATTAGCAGCAGTCGCTGTTGCTTGCATACGACTAGCGCCTAAAGTCCAATGATAAAGTCACAAAATACAATTACACCAGATCACGGATCAGTTCATGGAGGTTTTCATCCCATCCCAATTCACCAATACATATCATTAGCCCATCATTCGTCCTTACACTACCCTTTTTCAGTGTTCATATGATGAACACTTAATCACAAGTAACGAAGCGATTCCGGATCTGAATTTTATCTAGTTAATTCTTACTGATATCTATAAATATCACCTCGCAAGTTACAGATAATTGTGGTAATTTTGTCTCCTGCAGTCACTATCCATCCATGAGATTTCAACCAGCATCTTCATAACAAGCAACTGATATCAGGCATCATGGATTCAACTGTATGTGCACAAGCTGAGGGTTTCTGGCCTCTTCTTCCTGTTGCTGATCTCCACTAATTTATCATATAGAAGGCAACAGCATTAGATGTCCTAGTCCCCTCTACTCCAGGGAAACTGGTCACCCACGAGTAAGTTTCCTGTTAAAAAGCCTCCCCCTTTTCGTCTTTTGCCTATAGTTACAATAGATGGTGTCTGATGCAAAACCACAGAATCATCCTAGTACATGGCTTCAAATCCCGTTCGGACGACCAAAAACGCCTGGCGAAATTCAAAAGTTTGCTTGAGAACTGGGTTACGGTTGCTACCAATACTATTCGCAACCACATCAACGTTCGCACCTTTGCCTTTGATGGGGCTTATGTCCTACATAATGGACGACATGGTCTATCTGAGACTACTATTCAGCTATCACAAAAGTTCGCAGCGACAAGCGAAGACCCTTCCTCGCCCTTATTCTGCCCGGGATCAAAGGAGGGCAATCGCGACCGCGTACCCCGGGCCGCCGTATTTGTTGCTCACGGACTAGGCACCTGGGTCGTGAAAGATTTCTTAGTTCTGTTCCGCGAAGCATCTAACCGTGTTGATCCTACAGGGTTGGTATTCCTCGACGCACCAGAGATGCCTCCTAACATGACCCCTGTCGATGTACGATCTGAGTCTGCCGTATCTCAGTACCTCTACGAGCTTACAGAGATGTACAAGCTCCAAGCACTACCATTAAAGATATACGAACTCCAAGAAAAGCTGCGGATTATCGATATGAACTTCAGATTGCTAACGAACTCCCGCTATGGGGTTTGTGAAGAAATCAAAGACGCCTACGGGGATCGCGATATGTACACTATGAAAATGTGGTGCGATAATGTTTGGATGTGTTCTAATCCTCCTCTTACGACCGATTCTGTGAGTCTACTAACCCCATTTGTGTCCCTCTACTTTCCCTTGATCGTTCACCAAATATCATACTAATATATACTCTAGTCAGTTATCAAGACGATCCTTCGAGGAGCCCATAACATAATACGCTTCGAGAAAGTGACGAAGATGGAAGAACAGCTGAAGAAGCTTGAGCGACTCAAACTAGCACAAACCCTTCAAGAGGCAACCACTTGCCAAGGATTATACGATGCTCAACCTAATGATACCGAACTAACCACCAATCCTAATGCAAGCCCCAACGCAAGTCACCATTCCCCTGACAATGGGAAAGGGAAACGTAAGTCCAAGAGTCTCGATAAACTACTCCAATATTACTCCATTTACTAATAACAACCGCACTATAGAAAAAGCGGTTCCTTCTAACTCGCCTGGAAAACGTGGAGCCCTTACACCCTCGAACTCCATGAAGCCTCTTCCCAAAATCCCCGAGGAGGTGGAAGCTGAGCATCGTCCAGAGCAAGCCTTCGGTTTCCGTCTAGAAACCAAAGCTATTGAAAGCCATGGTGATAAATTCTACGATTTTGACGATGCCATAGACCAGCGAAACGAGGCAGTAGAAGCAGAAGACCCAGAGGCGCTATCAGCAGCGCAGTCCAGGCTACAACTTGTCAAGTGGCACCAAGGCCAGAATCTGGGCAAAAACCACCCTAAGGTCCTCGTTACGCAACGCGAGATCATTACCACAAGCCTTGCGTCCGGAATGTGGAACGGCAAGCCCATCGAAAATTGGACGAAGGAGGATTTCTGCGAGATAGAAGACGAAATGCGCCACGCCTTTGAAGCCTTGGAAGAATCTCTAGGTCCTCTCCACCGCGAAACCCTCGAAGCGCTTGCAGTGCTATTCAGCGTGCGGGCCTCACTAGTGAAGAAAAAGATGGTGTCCTGGGTGGCTGTTGCGGCAGTGCTGGACATGATAAAGGAGCGGCTAGACAACCGGATACCGCTGACACCGGAGACAATGCTCGAGACGTTGCGGATCAAGTACAAGGTTGCGCTAACCCTAGCCCAAATCTCAGATCGCGGAGATGCAATGCTGAGTAATATACTGAAGGATACTGAAGGCCTTCTAGTCACTGTGGATAGGGAGTATGTGGCGGACTTGACAGCGCTGCGGTTCAATATCCTAGCAAGAATTGCCGAGTTGCGGGATATGAGGAACGGAGCTAGGGAGGTAGGAGAGGCGGAAGGGTCATATCAGATATAGACGCAGACTGTTTTCTTTCAAGGCTCCAAAAGGGTGGAATTCATTGATACCCCATGAGGTTCACAGCTACCTACACAGCTAGGTTGAACCCGTATTTCTAGTTCAACTCGAATTTGATTTTATTTAATTTGCTTCATTGTCGTGTATTTGCTCTTGATGAATTAATGTGCTCCCCTCTCCGTGTGATAGAAGAGAGGGATCTGATGCCCCTGAATCCGGTAATGTATTATTGCAGTTATCCTCTAAGACATGCTGAGCCACGTTGTAGTCTCTATCCATTATAGCGCAGTGTTCTAAGCTTTCTTTATGCACCTTACCAGGCGTTGATTGAAAGGAATGAATATCTCCAGGTTTGCCCTTTTCACATGTTACATAGGTACCTAGGTAGCTAGTAATAAAGAGTAAAATGATGACCAGGTACAATTTCAACTAGGGACTACTGGTATGCATATAGGTGACCCCTTTTAGTCATTTAGATAGTCATAAGACAGATTTAATAGTAATAATAAGTATCACTAGTCGTGTGAACTAGCGGGCAACCAGGGTTATCTGAACCTTTACGTGCCTGACGATCATCTCCCAGCCTGACTACAGTGCCGGACTTCTCCCATTTCTTTGGCGCATAAAGACTATCTTTTAAAGCCCCGATCAATTGTTGATATGTAGTTCATTAAGTCCTTTTATATCCTTGTAAATGCATATATCAAAGCTTATGTGTACAGACCTAGCTTTTCGTGTTTTTATATGTTAATTCCCACATAGAAGAACGGTTACATCAATAGCCAGTTAGTAAAAATACTCCCAGGGTTCAGGACTAGATTGTAACATATAAATGAAGGTGTAATGGATGAGTAAATATCTTCTTAACATCCATTTCATGTTTAGCCCTATTATATATGAGGCCACAATCCACGTATATGGTGTCAACGTGGGTTTGGTCTTTAGTGTACCCATGAAACGACCACCTGTCTCACTCAAACATTCTGCATATACACTGAAGAACAAGGAGTCTGATCACCGGCGCAATTTGGAAATGTACGAAAGAATTAAAGCTTAAGAATCTTGAAGATGTGTCTTGTATGATTAAGACTACCTATGTACTATTTATGACTAAATAGATGAATAAAGTAGTCTCAAATAAAACCCCTTTAATGTTTTTTTTTGGTTTAATAGACTAGTTCACTCGGCCCACCAAAGCAAATTCCATATCGTTCATAAAGGAGACATAAATCACTCCTAAGGCTTAGGCCACTCAAGCTACCACGGCGAAGAGACATGGGTTCCTCCCCGGGTGCCGGACAAGACTCTTACTTCTTGCCACCGCTGCTGCTGCTACTACCTCCATATCCTGATGAGGACCTATAGCCCGACGAAGACGTGTAGGTTGAGCCACCCTGACCGTTGTTGTAGTAGGTTGAGCCGTTAGGATTGGAGTAGTAGTACGAGCCATCCCTACGTGAGTACGAGGCCTTGATTAGTATCGACAATCACGCGAGGCTTACTTGTACTACACTAGAATAACAGTGGCCATGTGGCAGATATAGAGGAACAGGAATAGAAATATGACATACTGATTGGAGTAATGATACGAGTTCGAGTTTGGAGCACTGCTACCGTAGTCACGGGCGCAGTAATGGTTACCCTAGATAGAGTTAGTTAGCTTGGACCAAAATTACCCAAGATCCGAGAAATGAAGATATATGAAGATGTCCGGATATGAGAATGCTTACCTGGCTGTTATAGCCGGAGCTCTTGTACTCGTAGCCTCTGTCGCTCATGGTGACGATGAATAATAATAAGTAGTAGCGTGAAGAAGTCTTAATGAAGCCTAGGGAGAGGTTTGATAATGGTAGAGTAGATGGCGCCCAAGATGGGTTCAAGCTGTTAGCAAGGGGAAAAGAAGAAAAAGAAGAATATGGGGGGGAAGAGGGAAGAGGGGTATATTAATAGATAACAAACTGATGAAGTGGGGAAAATGCTACGAGACCCCGAAGTCTATTGCGACTGAGACACGCACTGCGATATGGGGTCTAAGCGGGGGGATCCATACGGTGGATTCTTCGGACTGTATACAAAACCAAGGCTCAGGACAGAGCGGTGTGTGTTTGTCGTTGTGCTTGTAGTGAGTTGCCCTTGCAATCAAAGAATTAAGTACGGAAGCCGTATGTAGTAGAAAGATCAACGACCAATGAGCAATACATTCAATGTTTGGCTTTTTTTGGACGAAATATGAAAACGACATGTCACAGTGGGTTTAAAGAGAAAGAATACTTTCACGATTAAGACGCGGCCACCCAGTAGGAATAAAACACTCAACCATAAAAATACAGACTACCAGCCAGTCATAAAAGGTTACCTAGTCACATGGAAGGCTGCTCATTGGGTTCAGTTAAGGTAGCAAGAGGGTAAGTAATAATATCAAACAGAAACAAACGGCCAAACTTAAGTTGAGCTATTTTCAATTCTGTCTATCTGGTATCTGTCTAATGTATCGAGACTGTCAACGCACATGCTAATGTACAACTCTATGCGGTGATATCAATTACATCCTCGCAAGTATTAGTTACTCAGCTTTACCCTGAGCAGCTCCCTCTCGCTCGTCCGCTTCGTGTTCTGCAAGGAACTTCTCCGCATCCAGGGCAGCCATGCATCCGGAACCTGTCGATCATTGATATCAGCATGAAATCCACATCGTCTTGGGTGGAGGGGTAAATGGAAACGTACCTGCGCTAGTGATAGCCTGTCTATATCTCTTGTCTTGTACATCTCCAGCAGCGAATACACCGTCGATGCTTGTTGCCGGTGTTCCATTCTTGGTGATAATGTAACCGTCCTCATCGACATCTAGCTGCCCCTTGACCAAACTTGTGGCCGGGTCGTGACCAACGGCATAGAACAGACCATTGGCCTCTATTAGCTGTCGCTTTCCGGTAGCCGTATTTTCAATAACCATATGGGTCATCACCTTATCGTCTCCTCTGACCTCCACGCCCCTGGTGTTGAATTGAACAGTGACCTTGGGGTGATTCAACAACCGCTGCGCCATGATACTACTGGCACGTAGCTGATCTTTCCGTACCAGCACCGTCACGTGGCTACCGTACTTTGTAAGGAAAGTTGCCTCTTCGGCAGCGCTGTCTCCGCCACCAATAACCACTAGAGGCTTATTTCGGAATATCGGGACAGCACCATCGCAAACGGCACAAGCGCTGATACCGCTTTGCCAGTATTTCTCCTCTCCCGGAAGACCTAGCCTCCTCGCTGAAGCACCCGTGGCGAGGATGACGGAATCTGCGGTGTGCACCTCGCCAGGAGACCATTCCGTCTCGTACTTGAACGGTCTCGAGGAAAGGTCGAGTTTGGCTACTGTTTCGGTGATGATCTTGGTACCAAACCGTTCTGATTGTTGTCTCATAGCATCCTAAGTTGGGACCATTTACGTCAGTATATCTAGGTATCTAATGCGTGGAATACTCGTATAACTAGTGATATAAAACACGTACCATTAGCTCACTGCCCATAATACCCTTAGGGAACCCGGGGAAGTTCTCGATATCGGTAGTAGTTGTTAACTGACCACCGGCGGCAACACCGTTCGCCATGAAACCCTCGTAGAGAACTGGGTTCAATTCGGCACGGGCGAGATAGATGGCTGCCGTATGGGCAGCAGGCCCAGAGCCGATAATAACAACCTTGCTATGCATCTTCCTGGCTGCTGTTTGGGTTGCGAATTTGGTTGTCTGTCCCGTGTATTTCTGTAGCCCTACGGAAGCAAATGCTGCAATTGGTATTCCGGATGCGCCTGCGCAAAGAGTTCTTTTAATAGTCCAAGAAAACACTTTGTCGGTTTTACGCCGAATAACTGGGTTGGTATGTGGTAGGTTATAGGTTATAAGAGAAGACGACCAGACGGTTCAAGTATCAGTAGTCTCGGAGGACGTTCGGAAGAGGTAGGGAGGGCTAAGATTGTTGAGGCTTGGGCTGTCGTTACGCTGTACTATCTGTATTGTATATGTTGTAATGACATGGACCGAGTCACAAGTACTAGGCTGTAGTAAGACAGACTGAAGATTTGCAATTATTTCAAATGCGGCTCTACATGTAGTTCCGAAAATAGTTCAGATTTGGAATTAAGGTCTCTGGTACTTATTTATTGTATTTTTATTGTACGACGATGTCAATATTTTTTATTTCGGTTCGTCAGCTTCATGCGGTCCATCCGAGAAGGCGAGAAAAATTTTTTTTTTTATAAAAAAAACCCCCCCGCATTATTCAGCAAAAGACCCTTAGCTAAAAAGCACATGCGTGGGCAGTATCGATCCGGACCGGACCTGACTCGAGTCGCCCCACCATGGACCGATGTCCAAAATCATGCAATTGGCGGGGTAGGCTCAGGTACTCTATCTTATACTTGCATATTCTACCTAATCATTCATGCGTAACCTATAGTTAGGTAGGTAGTGGATTGATAAGACAAACTTTACGTAGTGTGCTATGTAACCAGTACATAATCCCCGGTCGGTGTTCGCAACGGTCAGTTCATTTGCCGCAGCATTCCGGTCTCTGGTGTGACAAAGCCCCCTCCTCCGCCACCGGAGGCGACCCAACGTTTCGATAGATAGATATGGTATTTATTTTTAGCTGTAACATTATCGTTAGTCTTAATATATGAGTCAATTTACTTATGATCGATACACACCAATTGGTGCTTTTGTATGAACTATGGCACCGCAGCAGGATATCCCGATTGCTGCTAACATCCTCGGCGTACGTCTTTATCATGTGACGGACCATTTGAAATATAACAGCTAAATACATCATCTGCGTAGACTATCGGTACGATTTTGTGGTGCGTGCAAACAATACCTCAGATAGTACGTATATTATATAGCAATTAATCGGGTTCCTGTAACTAATTTGACGTTTTAGTGGACGAATTGGCGAACGAAGAAGACCGATGGCCTCCCTGGCTCTATGATGTATCTATGGGCTTTATGTAAGAGATTCCTCATTCGCTAATAGGATGTCTCAAATATTGACTATGTTCTTAATTAGGTGGCGTGCCCTTCGGAGCTTATAACATTGCACAGAGGTTTAATTACCCCTTGCAGGTACAGCCGCAAGCTTTCATGGCGCTTTGCCTCGTGATCTGGTGCCAGATATTGCTATACAATAGCAAATGGTCTATGTGGAAGGTGGTTCTTATAGGTCTGGCTAATGCTGCGGCTTTTGCCGGTGTGCAAGCGGCCTTAATTATCACACTACGGGTATGTGAAATGAGTTGTCAAGTTAAGCACTGTATGGCATAAACTAAATTAATATAGCCACTATACGACGCTGGTAATAGCACTGGGGTCTTGGTAGTTGGTATAATCGCGAACATTCTCTTAGCAGTTGGCTTATTACCGCCGTACGGAGAACTGTGGAAGCGGAGAGGAAGAGTCATCGGGATCAACTTCGTCTTTCTGTCCAGTATGTATAATTAAAAATTCGTGATTATCTTCTTGCCCCTATCTAGGCTTCCTAGACTCTACTAAAGGAGATGATCACTAATCTTCATCGGCAGTGGACTGGCTAGGTGCATTTTTCTCTCTTATGTCACTTGGTAAAGTCCCTTGATATCCTTAGATACCCGTATGTTGCTTACCTTAGCTTAGCTGCCCAGAATAGTTTTGATATCTTGGGTGGTGTGTTGTATATCGTATGGTAGGTGGTACCTGACCTACTATTCGTCAAGGTTAAGAGCAGATCCTATGGAGATATCAAGCTGACCTGTACTGTATAATAGCATCCTTCTTGAATCCGGCATATTCCTTTCTCATTTGATTTGGCTCTTCCGCACTAGGAAACTGAGGAAAGACGCGGCATCGAGGGGGAAGACATTCGACGATATCGCGGCAGAGCATGAGCAGCAAGGCATACCATTCAAATTCGCCGAGCGAAAAATCCTCGAGAAAAATGATGTAGAAACGGGCAATGCTAGACATGGTGAAGATCCTGCTGATCAGACGCTGCAACACCCAATCACAACAACCATGCAGGACGGCAGCTCCGTAGGCGCTCAGCAAAATTTGAATTCGGAGTTAGAAAGAGAGACAGGTGAGAAAGTGGGATAACCCGTGTTTTTATAGCTAAAGCAGAACCATAGTAGTGTGATATCTTAGTCTAAAGTCAACGCAAAAGTCGTGCCTCATTATTATCATCCTCCAGTATTATTAGTCAACCACCTCACCAAACCACCTCCACGCATACCGACTACCAGAAACCGTGATCATGAACTAACTCAGTGTCGTCAGACGATGAGAGTTTACTCGACAGAAGGTCCCTTCCCCTGAGCATTCAGATCTCCACCCTTACCACCGTACTCGGCGGGAAGCTTCTCGCCAAGCGCGGGAACTTTGCTACCGGCGAATTCTTGGGCTAAGTTTCCGCCGTTCGACATCGGATGGAACTTCTTGATGGTCTTGGGGGCGACGAAGAGCTTCATAACACCGTACATGAAACCCATAATCGCAGGCACATTGACAAAGAATTTTTCCTTGAGAAGCTCGGGGTAGGCCAGTGAGAACACGCGGATAGTCTCGGTGCTGGCGGCCTTGACCTGGGGCGACTGGCGTAGGAAGCTGATGGACTTGTAGTCGTGTACCTGGAAGATCTTGTACGGATCCCACTCGGCTGTGATGGGCTTTGTGGCCGTGGAGAGAGATAGCTCCTGTATGGCGAGTTCCATGAGGGCGACGCGCCAGCTGATGAACCTAGTATGTATGTTAGAGTGTTGTTTCGCTCGTTTCACAGTGCGATAATAGATCCGAGATCTGCGATGAACGGAACATAACTTACTCGTCTAAAACGCCAAAGGTCTCATTGATCGACTTAACACCACCGTAGATGTTCCAGGTAAAGACCTCTCGAGACTCGGGGTCGTCATCGGTGGCCTTCTCCTCGCCGGCGACATACTTGGTGACGTATCCAAGACCCTCAAACTTAGTCTTCGAGAAAGTCTTTCCAAGGAGCTCCAAAGGCTTCATCTTAGCGCGCCATGCCAGAGTCTTTTCTAGCTGGTCCCGGGCCTTGACAATGTCGCCATCATTAGCGTTCAAGTACTTCTGCAGTACGATCTGACTGGGAACGTGGGTAGCCGGATCTGCTAGGGTGACGCCCCAGACTTCAGGATGAGGCTGGGCTTGAACGACTTTCCACAGCTCCTGAATTGGCGTAATAGGCTCGTCGGACTTAGGAACCTCGGTCTTCGGAGCTTCGGCCATGGTTGCAATATCGAGAGTACAGATGGAATAGTGCAATAAGTGAAAGGCTGATTTTTTACGGCTCAACTTTTGGGGTTTCGAGGTATTAAGGATATAGAATGTAGTTGTGAATGTAAAGACTTGCGAGGAAGCTCGTAACTCGGCGATCCGATGAAGGTAGGCGGACTATGGGTCCGTGCTTGTTCGAAGCTTCCCCGGTTGGGGCATAGGAGAATCAGATAATGCAGGGCAGCTGCAGCTTAGACTTGGCACTGTTGAGGAAGTCACTGCCGGCCTTTAGCCGATGTTGCCTTTACGGAACATTCCGTCACAAGCGTTGAACCTGCTTCTCAACCCGCCAACCATATTCTTAGGTCAAGGAAATTACAAGCAACGACGTACTCGGGCATTTAATTAAGACACAAGAAAAGACACAAGAAAACAACGAGTTAAACCCGAATTGGCACATGATACTTATTTTTGAAATGTGGCTATCATCAAGTGCGTGGCAGTTTGTATACGGCCGAACGTTCAGATGATCCAAGGAATCTTTTACGCAAGGTTCCTTCCTCAAGAAGGTATGTGAATATTTTGGGTATTTTTAACTGTCTATTTCAATCAATTATTTATGAGGTAATGTATGCATCTTAATTCATGTTATAACTAATGAAAGATATATAAACCTTACATCTCATAATTCACATCACGTCTCATCTCAATTTAGCTACTCTCACTTCAATCTCATCCCAACTGTTATGATTAACTCACTAGATATTTAGGAACCAAGATCGTAGCTCAATCCCCACCAGGATGTATCGTGGCAACTACATATACGCCGCATCTCAAGCCGCCCCTGGTCGACTTCGATATAATCCAGGAGTACATCATTCCGCGGAAAGCTTTCTTCAACCGGTTCATGACGGTAAACTCACCAGATAATAAATACAGCATCCTGCTATTTCCAGTCTCCATTCCTAATGAGAGATACCATCGTAACGAGTTCATATTCAACTTCGGGCTAGTCATAGAATCAGATGTAGACCATATCCCATACGAGAAGCTAGTGAGGCGTCTAGCAGTAACCTTCGCCGAGATGGAGCGTCAACACGGGTATCTAAGCTCAGAGGGGCGGGTAGACGATGGCAGACGGCCTATCGAGAGCTTACTAGAGATCGTAAAGGAAGACCTCAACAACTACGGGGAGTGCATGATTCCCGTCGACGACGCTAATACCCTCAATATGAAGCTTTTCCCCTACCACCCACCTCCCGCCCCTGTTCGCGGCTGGCATGTGCCCGTACCCAAGATGAAACTCACCGACATCGTCGACCCTACGTGGGACTTGACGCTACAGAAGATCATCCCTTACGTTGATGGTGTCAACGACGTGCGCCGCATCGCGTGGCTAGCTGACGTATCGTTACCGCTCACCCAGATCGCGCTACAGCACCTTTTATATTATGACACTATTCTCCTCTTAGACATGTTCTTCTTTGGCAGCTGTTATGCGCCAAGACCCGGCGTGCACGACTTTATCGTAAACAGGGACGGTATCGTCGATGAGTGCGCCGGGTATGTATGCGTTAGCAATCCCCTTACCGGTAGCAGTAGCACTGCCAAAGCGTCTTCTACTACTGGCACGACCGAGGACGGGAACGATACCGCAACAAATGCTGATGGAGGACGGCAACAGCAACAGCAACAGCCGGTATCCCACTACCAATTAGTGAAGCTGATGACCACGTTTTGCGCAGGGCGCAGTGTCATGGAGTGGATCAAGCTGCACCAGGATGCAGGATTCGACGTTCTTCGACACGTAGACGTGCGGCGGCTAGTTCAATTCGGGGTGATCAAGGGGCTATTATACCGGGTGCACAAGTACGTCGTGTCAAAGCAGTGTCTTGAGGCTCTGGCGACAGGGAGGCGCGTATTATCAAGAAGTGACGATGGTGAGGAGGACACATTGCTGCGGTACGCCGATGGCTGCCACTCCTTCGACCAGATCATCACCGAACAGAACATGACGGATGGCGAGATCATGAGGAAGCTGAGAAGTCTCGAACCGGGAGATCGCACCGTGTTCTACAGGTAGTGGATTTACGAAAGCAGAAGTGATTGTGAAGAAATAACTGAATGAATAATTTACGATGGGGGCAAATAGGTTATTCGACAGAGCACAGCTCCAAGACCGATTCTATACTTCTCTCTACTGGGCATATGGCTACTCGCTCACCAGAGCAACTAAGAAGCGAATCAAACAGACATATTTTGCTAGGCTGGCAGCATGATGGACAACCATGTTGGAATCGCATAGTAGCTACAGCATTTTTCTAATAAATTTGTCCATCTAGGCAAGTAGGGAATGTCCAAGGCTAATTCGGCATGAGCACCACAGTAACTGCCCCAAGCATTAAATATCTATTATCCCAGATCACGAAAGGCAATGAGACTTTAAGGGCCACCCCAGGAATACGGCCAATATACAATACAAGATGCTGGAAACAATAGAATAAGGGACGAGCTTTGATATTGGTATAAGCTACCAACTTTACAGAGGGTGAAAGACTACCACGACTCTTTGTAGGGAATAATTTAACAGAGTAGATTGTCAGTATATATGCCTACCCATCCCTGGTTAATGCTATTGAACTCTAGAATATTACCTATTTAGTCACCATTTTTCGAATTTTCTATTATACCATATAATCTCGCTTATGGAATCCTAACCCTTAGATACAGGCTATAGCATGCCTCTCCGCGTCGAGGCACCTGCTCTAGTAATGAATACAGAAGACCGGAATAATTTGAGGTGAATTCATTTGATTTTACGGCTAAATAGCAATTATTCTACAAAGTGGCGTGTTATAAGATCGCCTTGTTTAGAAGATGCACCAGCCGGCGTTTTCTTATATTCTGTCTTAGGCTTTTGCTTCTGGAGCTTCCTAGCTTCCTCCTGGTTGCGGATTTCTATCTCCTGGCGGGCCCTCTCCAGCACCTTGTCGATCACCGCCGTCTTTGTCTTGGTATTCGTCGCCTCGCTAGAGGAGCGGATGCGTATGAAAGACTCTGAGAGGATCTGCCTCGCGCGGTTGCTATCGACCTGGAGCGACTCGGGTAGGAAATCATCCAGTAGGCCTTTTCTGTCCTGGTACAGGTTTGTCGCTCCGTCCAGAAGCTTCTGCTTTGTCTCGGGGTCATCTACGGCGAGATTCTGATTTGCAGCGGCCTTCTTCAGCATGTCTCTCAATAGTCGCACCCGACCCGTACCCGGTTCGCCCGGGTACATCAAGCCACTATCTGCCCATTCCTTATCGCTAACCATCTTGACTACTCGGACAAAGTGCTTTCCTCGCCGCAATATTAAGAGTTCGCCATCGATGAGGAAATTCTTGGTATCCTGGGGAAACCAGTTCTTGATTGGCGTGTAGGTTAGCTCGCCGTAAGACATCCCCTTGTTAGTAGCCGAAGGTTGGCCGGGAGAACCGCCTATATAGGCGCCCTGGTGTTGTGTTAAGCGATTTCCATCAGTGACACTGTCTGCGAGGCCGGCAGCATATAGAATTCGACTTATAGACTTGCCCAAAATCAGCGACTCGGGGAGTTTCATATCGACTTGAAAGCCCGATGCCATATTCGACGAGGCTGGCCGATCCGTCGGGTATGAAGATATTTGGGTATCGCTTGACTTAGAGAATAGCCCCTTGTGCCGATTCTGTACATCTTTTGCTTCTTTTATTCCATAAATAAGCGCAACTACTTCGTGCGCAAGAGCATGCTGGGCATGACGCTTGGAGGGGTCTTGGTTGTGCTTCTCCATAGTCTTACTAATTTCCTGCAAGGGAAGAAAGGTAAACAGCTTCAGCAGTCTCTCAACATCAGCATCAGGCCGTCGTATAAAGTAGCCATACAAATCGAAAGTGCTCGTCATGAATTGGTCGAGCCAGACGGCGTTGCCCGCGCTCTTCCCAAACTTAACACCAGAAGAATCAGTCAAGAGGGGAACAGTAAAGCCAATAGGCGTATGAAGAAAATCATTAGGGATTTTCGTAGCCGGGTTGGGATCGTTATCTCTGATGTGTTTGACTGCGTCGATACCGGAGATGATATTCCCGTATTGGTCAGACCCTCCTATTTGCAGTTGAACACCTCGTTTGTTATACAAATGCCACCAGTCCCAACCCTGCATCAGTGGATATACGAATTCATCCAATGACATGCCATCACCCTCTTCCATCTTGCGCTTGACGGTCTCGCGCGAGAGCATAGGTCCTACTCGTATTCCCTTGAACAGCCGAGCTACGACCTCGATGAAGGGCAGGTTGTTATACCACATGCTGTTATTTACCAGCGCCCGACTCCATATCCTAGGTTCTTTCTTGTAGCCGAAGCGGTCCGCTTGGGTCTCGACGTTGACCCATATACGTTTCAACTGGTAATGTATCTTGGTAATATTCATAGCTATGTCCGCTCTGGAAATGGGATCGCGGCTCTTTAAACGACCGGTAGGATCGCCGATCTTGACTGTGGCGCCTCCGACTAAGCTAACAGCTCGGTAGCCATGTATATACATCCAGAAAAGAGGCATTAGAGGCAATAAGTGGCCGACGTGAAGAGAGGGTGCGGTAGGGTCGATTCCGACGTAAGCGCCTATTCTTTTCACCCTCATAAGCTCTCTAATCTGTTTATCGGTGCCGGCAATATCTTTGACGTATCCACGCTCCTTGAACATATCCCAGAGATGCGGTAGCTTTCCCTCTTGAATTAACTGGGCTCTCTCGTCCCACATCTTCTTCGCCTCTGCCTGCTTATCAAGATACGAGGTGGATATCGATCTAGTTTGTTGTCGTCCGGCAGCTAATGATTTAAGGAGGCATCTTCGGCAGAGATTTAAGGGAGAACCCCGTACAGAGGAAATGGCAGCACTGGACAACATATTCCTTTGGGATGGCGCAGGCCGCAGTTAGGAATAGTAGGAGTCGCGAAGGTCGGAATTTGAATTGGGGTATAAGGGACGCCCCCACGACTCTAAGAAATGAAATGCATATAGTAGAGGTTCAGGTATTGGGGTTTCCTGAATTGGGGGTCCTGTTTACTCTCGAGTTGAGAATATATAATAGAGTCCAGGTATCTGCGCATGTAAAAATGTTCTTGGACTTGGAAAATTCAAAGCTTTAAAAATTTAGTGGGTCTGAGATTACGTGCATATCTTATCGATTATCTATACCTCCATAGGTACCTAACCTAGGTAGGTACCTATGTACATGGGCATTATGTAATTCCTAGGAGGTACCTAGATACCTACATACTAAGGTACAAGGTAGCCAGGCTTTTCCCGGGCAAGTTCAACCAATCAGAATTAACTTATTTCATTCGGTCCTCGGCAATGAACATGTGGGAATTTCGCATTCCTTTGATTCGAACGCATCATCGTCGGCCTCAAATTCCACTCTACCGTTAATACCGTTAATCTATACTTCCTCTCTTCTCCCACCCTCGATACGTATCAGGGACCTAGAGACTAGTTGAGCGAAGACAGATAACCTCAAACTATCTTCTCGTCTCTCTCAATGGCTTCCCTCGTTCGTCCCGTGCTGCTCCGGCAGACTGCTTTAGCCGCCTCGACCCGACGAGCCGCAACCACCACATTCTCCAAACAGCAGCTGATCCGACCAACGGTTTCGAAGGATGTCGCGCGTGTTGCTGCCTTCCACGCTTCTAGCAGAAGAAACCTATTACCTCCGGGACCTCGTACGTTATTACCGGTCGCATTGCGATCTTGGCCATATTAATATGTCCTTGCTAACTCAATGCGCTCTTAGAGGTTATCAAGGGATCTGGTATGCGATTCTTTGTTTTCCCATTACCAATCGTTATATTCAAAATACCCCATCGTCTATAAGGGGGATGTGAATATGCAAGACTAGGAAGAGCGAAAAGAAAAGAAAAATTATCGCTAACCCTCCGGACAACAGTCAACGACCCAGCGCCGGTCCCCGAGACTAGCCCCTCCCATGGCTCATACCACTGGACCTTCGAGCGTCTCGTAGCCGCTGGTATCATCCCGCTTACCATTGCGCCTTTCGCCGGAGGTTCGCTAAACCCCGGCCTCGACGCAATTCTATGCTCTCTATTGCTAGTCCACAGCCACCTTGGCTTCCAATCCGTCCTTGTCGACTATATTCCTACCAGCCGCTACCCCAAGTCCCGCAAGGCCGCCATGTGGCTCCTCAACGCTGCCACCGCCCTCGTCGGTGTCGGCCTATACGAATTCGAGACAAACGATGTCGGTCTAACCGAAGCCGTCAAGAGAGTCTGGAAGGCTCAAGCTTAAATCAAAATTTGGAAACAGATAAATGAGTAGGAATTGCCTCGACTAGGTCAAGTTGAAGTCAGTGTTCTATGAGCGATGAAGATACGAGGATGAAGCATTGCCTGAAGGCTCAAAGAAGAGGAAACAGGTGGGATTGTGTGGAGCTATGTGACATACCGTCACGAATTCCTTTGTATTGGATCATGCTTATCTGTTGGAACAGCTGGGCTCGGAATAGGCGTGGTAGGATGGCAGAATTGCTCGTCCGTGTATCCAGTTCAACTAGTATATATAGAACTGTTCTTTGCCTACGCATATATGCACCAAGTTCAATCTCTATATTAAGGCAGCCGGTAGAAATAAGTGCTTTACTGTTGAATTAACCAGGCTCGGATTTTGACCAGACAGGAACCTTATCAAGTATTCACATAAACATTATCTACTCGAAGTCAACGAGTACATATGTACACCCTTCTCATAAAGGTAAGATTTATCCTATTTCATCCCTTTATTTAACCCCTTCACTCATCGTCCTCCCTGATGCTCATCCGCGCTCCCGTCCCTCTTCCCGAACCTAACGCCTAGGCCGCCGATATCCCTACGGAAGAACTTGCCAAAATTCTTCAGGTTCTCGTTGATGCTGGCCGCATTATTCTGCGCCGAGCCGCTGCTACCATTAGCGCCCCCTGGTTGTCCCTGCTCGGCAGGGTTACCCATCCTCTCAACACCGTCGCGCGCTGCATTAAGCAACTTCTCTCCTAAGGAGGCTGCGTCGAAGCGCGAAGCGGCGCCTTGTGCTGCTGTTGACAGAGGTCCGGAGGCTAGACGGTCAATGCCTAGACCTAAGTTCAAGTTATTGGCACTGCCGCCGCCCGCGCCCACCCCACTACTGCCGAACCCAGTTGCGTTCAGGAGCGGCGTCAATAGCGGGCTCTGCGCAACCAACTTACCGCCGCCGCTGTTAGCGGGTCCGTCACGGTGAATGGCGAATAACTCGATCAAGTGCACCTGCTCCTGTTTGCGGATACCCTTAAGTTCGAGGATCTTGCGGAAGTTGGTATCGGAGCGATCGCCCACGTGGATCAAGTAAGCCTGCACGAGCCCCTCCGGCGGACTTGGGCGAACCTGGAGCGTCTTCAGGAGCGGGTCTATGCGCGTCATCGTTGCATTGACGCGCTTGACAAAGCCTGCTGGCGGCACGTGCGGTGTCTGCGACGAGGAAGACGGGTTGTGGTGCGAGAGCAGGGTTTCCAGGGCTTTAGTTAGGACGTACTTATCCAACAGCATCTGTTCGGCGCCTACTTCGGATATAGGCCTGCACTGGACGATGGCATGAATGTACGAGTTTGCTAGTTGTTCCACTAGCTTGTCGGCGAATGCGCGCGCGTACTGCTGCTTAACCACAACAGCTAGAATTTCCTCTACCTTTGCATTAATATGACTGACCAGTTCACCTACGTAGGAACTCTGGTCTCCAACACTTTCCATCTTGCTCCAGTTCGTGTTCTTCATCTCACGCCAAGCGCCCTCGCAATCTGACTCGACTTTGTTGACAAGCGCTATAACTGCAGCACTGGCGACTCCCAAGAATGCGTCAGCTTGCGACGATAGATCAACCTTTGGCACAAGGTCATGGTCTATACGTTTTTTGATATTTTCTTCGAGCTGTCCCGTGTTCGCATGCCAGAAATCTGCGGTGTTCAGGACAAGGATAATGTCATGGAGAGGCGTCCCTGCCGGCCCCGATCTCTGTAAAATCGTGAGCAACACTTGTTGTGCATATTCATCGAGATATTTAGCCAATGTCTTCGTCAAGTCTAATAACCGCTCACTCGTCGAAAGCTTAGCGCATTGCGATAAAGTGAGCTTGTAGAAATGGAAGAGCTCGATAGCAGAGCTGATGACAGCTTGCGGTGAAAACTCTTCGTCGGCTGGCAATAAAGGTTGGGCTTTGTATTTAGGGATCATAGCCGCCAACGCCTTGTCCTGGGACTCTACCCATAGACTTAGGTAAGGTTCGAAGGCCACAGATATCGACCCATTGAAGCTCTGGGTTCTTTCGTCCGCGGAGCTAAGTGTATCAATACTTGCCCGTGGCTCGTTTGAAAACCTCCGTTCCAGGGTCTGCTCGAAGTCCATCGTCTCCTGCAGACAACTCAGGAGAAGGTTAACATCAATCTTGGCACCGTCCACCCTCCTCATGCTCTTTTCCAAGATACCCTTATAGTCATCTCTTGTACCGTCGCAGAAAGCCATAGCCAGAGTCTCGCCAACTCTCCAGTGCGGTGGGAATATGCCAGCATGTTCCTCCTCGTAGCTCTTGACCATCCTCTTGAACCAAGCGTACCGTCTTCCAATATTATCCAAACTTCCAGCTTCATCATTCCCTCTGAAGACCTGGCGGTATTCCCGCAACTCGGTGTTGATGTACCACGTTATTAGTCTCGCCCTCGCATTATCCCCGAGCGCATCCATGACCCCGCAAGCCTCGACCAGTGTCGCCTTCCTTGACCCGACCTCACTCTTAGCGAACGCTATCTCGAAGTCCTCGCATACTTGCTCCAGCAGTTCCCTCTGTAACTCGCCCACACCTCGGCTGAGTGTAGCGATCTGGTCTATACTTCTGTAACTATTGAAGTGGCGCATAAGTTGTAGTACCGCTTGCAGAAGACTCGCGCATTCTCTGTATTGTCTCGTCTTAGCTAGTCCTCTCAGCTGTTCATACGCCGTAGTCAACATCTGTAGCCGCTTAAGGGCCGTCATAGATAAAGTCAAGTTTCGTTTCGTGCCATCGAGTCTCTTAATATCGGCAGTCATGGAGGTAATATTCTGCTCAGTCTGAATAGCACGTGAGCGCACCGTTTCGATCTTCTTGAAGAGACCAGCGAGTTCGGCCTGGGCGGATTGCATGCGTTCGAGGGAAGAGTTAGGTCCGTAAGCCTGGGCCGTCTGGAGGCTTGATATTTCGGCTGAGAGGTCATTGTGGTGGGATTGGAGGGTTGACGACACTCGGGATATAGATGATACGGTAGAAGGATGAGAGAAAAGTAGGTTGAGGTTCTGAATTGGATCATAGTCGGCTAGTCTTAGGTGTTAGCTAGTCAGCGAGCCCCTTTCTCGTATATCTCCATGGAGAAGTCAAGGACCATAAGAACTGATGAGAAGAGAACTGACCTGCGTCTAATGACGGAGGCTCAGATGTGATGCCGTTCATCTTAAGCAGCAGAAGCTAATTATGGTGAGTCGCATTGGGTCATACGTGGTAGTTTGGAAGTACGAAGTACGAAGTATTCCACAAGTATTCCACAAGTCTTGGATATTGTTGTAGCTTCAATGTCTTAGCTTATACAATGACGCCGCTAACGCATAAGGTTAGGTACCTAGGTATCTAGGTATGCATTAAAGCTGAATCCAGTATTATACATACCTAATCACGTGTCGTTTGGTTTATCGATAAACCTGGCCGGCCCTCACCTTATGTATTTGTTTTGGTTCACCTTTGTTCACTTTAGCTCACCTTAGCTCACCTCCCCCACTCTGCATAGGCGGGATGATCCGGTCCAATCAGAGATGAATGCACTATAACTTCACTTACTCTTTTTGGAAAGGTGCCTAATTGGTTCCTCTCACCGAAGGTCCACGGAATTCAAGTCCAACAATTTTGTAGGTTAGATTTATTGCAATTAAGCATATGTTTATTTGGTGAGAATATTTAGAAATCTTTCTTTCCTAGCCTATCGAGTCTCAGCCATCTCCCAACAGAATCTGCCCTAATCCCCCTTAATGCATCATGCAATCCTCCTTTATGCCTCCGTCTATTCGCAATGATCTTGTAACCTCAAGGAAGCGCTTCTGGTATCTGTGGTATCTGTGGTATCTTCAATATATCTTCAATATAAACCCCGCACCCGTCTTTGCCCGTTTCTGTCAAATGTTGTATACCTGCTTGTTACTTAGGCACTTAGGTATAATGATATCGCCAGGTCCAAAATGCAGAAGGCCATCAGTGTATCTCCTTAAACAACTCCAACTCTTGAGTGATGCAATCCAAGCATGATACGCTGTCTCCAGGAAAGCCAAATCTTGATGAATCTGCCCTATAAATAGGAATTTAACGCCTTGAAAATGCAAACAGTCATGATGACCGCCTCAACTCCGTTCACCAGGTGTGATAAAAGCCCAAAATATTGATTCGTTTACGAACTATGCAACGCTCGGAATCCGGCCGCGATCAAGCTTCGAGATTTTTCTCGGGAGTCAGCGGGTCCGGACCAATAGAACAAGCCCTACATTATCCAAATTAGAACCATTCTGTTTTGGTAGCATTGGCAATTAAAGGGTTTAAGAAAGGAACAACAGAAACTTACCCCGAGTCCTTTCTGTTTGCAGTATGCTGCCTTCATCTTGACGGTATCCGGGTTATCGTAGGTGACAAATCCTCCATCCCCTCCGACGCAGCTCGCGGCCCCTATCCGTTTATCCACAGATTCTTTGGCATGTTTTCTTGGCAATGTGCTGTATTCGAATATGCCGTCTTCGCCTCCTGCGCCCTTGTTTCGATGTCCCGGTCCGCTAACCCCGAGAAAGCTCCGTCCGTATAGGGGAATGCCCAGCAAGATTTTTCTAGTTGGACAGCCGTGGCCTACAAGGTATGAGACACCAGACGATCCTGATGTCTCGTCCTTGCTCATCGAGTACAATTGGGCCTGGTGCCCGCTTCGCTGTGACCACGAACCGCAGAAGTCATACGCCATCAGGTTTACGTAGTCGAGATAGGACGCAGCTTGCGCAATATCGATATTATGCAGAACTGAGCGGCTTGCTGGGAGAGCTGCCGTGACGAAGAACTGTTCCTCCGGAAGTTGGACCCGCACGGCGGCCAAGAGCGCAACGAAGTCGGCCCCTTGTTGGGGGTCCATGGGGTATTCCCAGTTTACTAATTACGGGAGATCAGTAAATTTGCAATGTAACATGATGTAACCTTCCGGTGAGATGTGGGGGGAGGGGAAAGGAGAAGTCATACTGTCAATACCATCCATACCAGAGGCCTCCACTAAACCTCGCGCTGATCGCGCAAAGTTATCTCGCAGCAGAGCGTTCGAGGCAACGACTGGGAATGTCTCACTTGAAGTGCCGCCACCGATCGATATGGTGACTTGCAGATGCGGATGCTTCTGCTTAAGATGCATCAAAGATCCAAGCCCGCCTTGGACACCGTCGCAAGGGGCTTGAGTATCTGCCCACTCGTCGCTCAGCTAGACCAGATATTAACGTCAAGATTCCTGCCGTGTGTAACTTTGGAGTATGTAGCTTGAAGCAAATAAACTTGAAACTTACAAACACGGAACCGTCCGCCGCTACGTTAGCGAAGGCGTAGTACACGTGGTTAATGCAGCTATAGTTCATCATACCCGGTGAGGCGCCGTTATAGATCTTGTGATTTGGAAAATAGGCGGCGTTCGTGAGCATGACATTGGACGCGCCAGCAGTCTTCCGCCGTCGAGATGATGAAGAGCTCATATTGAGTAACTATTTCTGGCGACGAAGAATTCTAACTGTGAAGATGAATTATCGAGGCCGCTGTGTCTGTTTGGGAGGCTTTCTAAAGAAATATTCGAAGGAGTCAAAGAGGAATAGTCCCGGTTTTAAGTCGAGGAGCAACAGCCGGAATACCAATAACTACCAATAACTAAGAGGATAAAAGAACTTAAGATGGCGCATATTGAAATTACCTTCGTGGTATAAATGGGTACCTGTCTTCGGCGAGTTATGAAGTGTTATAGCTTGTATTTATTGTCTCAGAGCCACTATTAGATTAGAGCCCGAAACCACCAACCTTGCGTGTGAAACTTTTATACATGAGAGGCTTGGGAGAGACCTGATCAGCTCCCAAGCGCGGAAGCGGTGGAGAAAAGCGCAACATCATCAACTTTTTTTTCGCCTCAAGGGGGACCATCTAGGTACATATGTATTCGGATACCTTACGGAGATCGTTCACTGAGCTATCCATGCATGACACAATTGCGACGGGGATCAGTACATATATAGGGCCGCTATATGGTCAGCTCAGGCGGAGGAGGGCGGGCCAGTAGTAAACAATCGCCAGCCTGACATAGCCCGAATGAAAGGACGGGGTGGGATTGGCGGTCGAAATTCCATCAGCTCGAAAGATAAATGGTGAAGGAGACTGGCTGTAGTTACTTAGTTGGGACATAATATGATTAGGCATGCAAGTAGGTAGGGGGAGAAGAAGATGGACCGGCGTGTCGCGGGCTGGCTATAGGGAAGGGGTTAGGCCATCTGCTAAACTAGTAACGGCGCATAGTACAGTAATGAGGAATGAGGCCTTCCGGGTTTGATTACCTGCCTCGAAGGGGAGGAATTGGCCGCCTGTCTTCGGGCTGATGATTCCAATGGGCTTCTGATAGAGAGTGGGGTTCGGGAACGGCGTTGTCAAAGAGGGACAGGACCCTGAGCGACGCTATCTTTTAGGGTTGGCAATGTCGTAATGTTGCCTGTCACAAATATAGATATGATATGTCTGCATATCTTGTACGTACAGCACAAACAAGCAACAAACGCGGATGCTTCTCCTTGGCGGGAGTCAGCCGATCATGACCTCGCCGGGCACGTAGAGGGACATCGGTCACTGCGGTGGAAAGGTGCCACGACTTCAAATTGACCCATGGGCTGGCAAATCTCCTGCGAGCCGGATTCCGCTCTTTGATTACTTTTTGGTGGCCTTAAGTCGTCCGTTTGGGATTAAAACTACCCAATCAGCCTAGCTTTCCAGTCGGGGCATTGATGACTTGTGGAGCGTGGGATGAATACAAACGAAGCTTCTACAACGTAGTATGTAACATTAGGCGAGCCCTAACCTAGTGAGGATCACAGATGTACCGAGGCGAGATGTGTATGGAAAAGGGAAATGCTATAAGAAGCTTGATAAACGACCTGGCTGCCAAGACGTATAAGGATGCAGTTAACGAAGCGGCACGTAGTATACCAAGCCTGTCGCTGCGTTGTCTCGACAAAAGTCCCCCTCTCTATCACCAGTCGAACAGAAACTGATGGATATAAGCGGACCGGGATGCCGGAGAAATTTCACCAAACCCTTGTCCTACGTTAGACATCTAGTATCGATTTAAGAGATGGGAGCTAGCCAAGAGTGATTCAGGATATGACTCCTGGATATAGAAAAAGAGGCGTTCTAGCTCTATGATCTTCATATACGGGGATTATACCGAAGCCCTCAAACTTAAACGTCATCAATTAGCTTAGGGGTCCTGACCACGGAGAAAAAATTACCTAGCTGAGGAGGTTAGTTCTTCTAGTAGACTAGCTGCTGCCATGGATAAATACTAGGATGTAATTTGCGGAGGATTTGGTTCAGCCTCCTTGAATATCTCACCTGGGATCTTGAGCGAACTAGCGAATACAATTGTCTCTATAGACATATAAAACTCAATGTTAGTTATTGTCAGATGCCATCACGCCTTCTTCAAATGCGAATCTCGCAGATACGCATGGAAGCAAGATCAGTTGACCGGCGTATAACAGTCCCGCTATAAAGACAACAGTGGAAGTATCGAGAATCCGGGTACGTAAAGGAATCAAATGGAGACCTTTCGTATGCAACGGTAAGACAGTAACTCCGACTTGCCTATTCAGGTTGATTTCCAATATTTTAGTCTTGTCGCCAACCTAGACCTAGCATCTTGGGATGTGCATATTCGCTATGTGGAAAGCTTCTCGAAGGTCGCCCCGCTCGCCCAGGGATAGTTATACGGATATGGGTAGTATGGGAGGAGTCGACTATGTAGGTTAAGGAAGAACCTTGGACAAACTGCCCTTGCCTCGGTCTGTGAGTATACGACGGCTCTGATTGGCGATATATCTGTAGCCTTCGACTCCTTTAGGCAAGCTAACTAAGTAGGCTAGCTGTAACTGATTATAATGACGCATCTGGGGTGCAGGGAACCAAGTCGGTACGACCGAGATGAGGGATTCCGACTTCTCCTCGACCTTTGACCGAGCTGATAATGCGAGCTGCAGAGCCTGCAGATGCTAGCATAAGAGCTCCAAAATATATATCATTTTATTATTATTATTTTCGTGGAGGTGGCATATCTACCTGTTATAAGAAGAGGATCATTACATCAACTCCGCTTTTTACTCCTGTGATCCTGTGGGGGAACCATACAACCTGCAGCTGAGGTGAAAATCATTTCCAATAGAAACACAACTTCCTCACCTAACTTTGTACCACGAAGAGACTCGCGATATTGGTCCTAGGAGAAACATTTCAGAGAAATATGATGTAGGATCGTAGTATAAGAAGTAGCTAGAGCGTCCGCAATATCGCCGTCAGCTTCCCGGCGAACCAGATCCGAATCCGCTTGGCACTATTTAGCTCTTTATCCAGAACGCTGGGACGTCTCAGCACCACGCTAACTAGAAACTGTCTGCTCCAGATGTCACATATATGACAGGTCGGATGGTTGTTGGATCAGATTACAGGTCATAGCTCCATAGATCTCACCGAAAAGCCAAAGAGGTTTTCGGTTTACTTGATATAAGTTGACTGTCTCCTCTCAAGAGACAAGCATGGGTCCACTTACCGAACAAATACAGGCATAACCTGGGTAGTCAGGTCGAGAATGTCCAAAGCCAGGCCTCTTCTCCGTGGTAATACCCCGTCAAGTTTAATTGTTAATACGTCTTATAGACTCTTGCATAGTACGGTAGCATCGCAGCACGGCGCGGACTAGATACTTGAATTATGCTAGACCATTCAAGTTAATTAATCGAGGTCTACAGCGTAATGTTCACCAGTCAACCCCGAGAATTGTTAATATTGTCCCACCCCGGACTAAATTTTGGATATGGCTAGACATGGCTGCTGCATGGCGTCAAAAGTGTAGGATGTACATACCCCTTATCTCTTTGGTATACCTACCTAGGTACCTACTAGGTATGCATACCTCTTAGCGTGCCCGAGCATCATTAGAGCGAGCTTACACTTCTCGATGTTTTCCAATAGCTGCGTGTTGTGATGGGGATTTCCTTGGTGAAAATTTTTAACCAACATACATAGAGGCTAAGGATGGAGGAGTCGAAGATCCCTTGACCCGGAGGTATTACGGACGACAATCATCGACTACCAATGGAAAAGAGAGGCGCTAACGCAAGCAATGGGATAGACACGATTCGGGCCTAGCCGTATTTTGTTGAGCCTCCACACGGGAAATGCTACCCAGGCGACTATTGGCTAGACGTGATAAGAAATTACCATGGTTTAATACTGCCGTGAACTGATGTACTTGTGTCAGTCGATAAATATGGCCTGTTGCCTCATAATTTGGAGTTCAATATTGTCTAAAATACATGTGTAGTATGCTTAATGTATGTATATCCATAGCCAGCGTCGTACATCCACGAATCACTCGTATTCGCCGGTTGCTTCTCCTGTTACAACGATCGTTTCCCGAGCTTCCGGATATAGGCTGGTCGTACAAAGCATTACTACGTCTTGTCTCTTGATGGATGTACCCAGGTAGTCTGGTCTCGCATCACGCTGCATGAGCCAGTCCAGCAGCGCTTATTTCGAGTTACCTCGCAGGGAAAGGGAAGGTCCCGAGTGGAAGAAAATAATGAAAAGGATTACTGGAAGAAGGAGAGTTTTGCAGAATATTTACCGAGATATTCGTTTATACCGATGCGCATGTGCCGCATGCATTCCAGGCCGGTCCAAGTGAGTTGTATCCAGCGGTCTTCGGCAGCTAGGTCGGTACTGCGTAAGTAAATGTGTTCTGCGTATAAGCATGTACACGCATACTAGTTTGCTCGTCGTACACAATATGTGGTTGCGATCGATGTTGATTCGCATACTACCGCGCGATAATCCCTGGACCTGATCAACAGCGCGTCTAGTGAGGCTATAGTGAGGCGAGCCAAAGTGACATCAAGTAATAGTGATCGTCGGATCGGCTAGCCAGGCGAACGTGACAGTTAGCCGCCGCCCGCCAGCGAGGCTTCGATGGCCGAAGGATTTATTGGTGCATATATGCTGCCGTGTAAGTGGGCCTCGGCAACGAAATGGAAGCGGGAGGGATCCGCAGGTGATAAAGTGCTATCGCCGAATGATACGCGGCCGGAGGTTTAAACGACGACGTCAACAATTATGTAAATTATAATAATAACCATGGTAAATCGTACCACCATACATAGATTGTGTTTGGTTTACGTTGATTTTCGATGCCGTTCATACCGGGTTTACGAACTTTATGATAATAATGGTACGGAATTATACAGCCACTTCCACTCCATTTAGCCCTACATAACAAAGCCGTAGGAGCACGTGCTTGTCCTGAAATTCCTATTAGTGATGTCAGCCAGGTCGCTGTAGCTAAGTATTCAAGAGATGATAAGGCTTACGTACCATTGTTATGCATTGTCTGTGTTCTAGAAGTTATTCTAAGATACCTATTGGCATGCGTGTACGTAGAGAAGTGAAGCAGCGTGGTTGGGCATTCATAGGGAATACATACAAACCTATAATCCAGAAGGTCACAAAACATGCATATACAGCACTGTATGCAAATGCAGCCTAATAGTAACACCCTGGATATCATAATCCCGATATCAGGTTGATGATTTGCCACAACACGTAGCTCCTCTTATACGCCAACCCTGTTCTCACACGTATAAATACCAACCTTCTCATGCCACCTCGTTGCGTAATACAGAACTTGGAATCCCGAATTCTAGAAGTTGATACCTTACGACACGGTAAGTTCTAGGATCTTACTTCGAGTTGGGCGGTATTATAGTTCTAACACTTTGTCATATTAGGCATTTACGCTTTTTGACAAAGTCGGTGTAGAGTTGAGAAGGCTAATTGAGAGACACGTCGAGAAAAAGCTTCTACGAACCGACAATCATGCTCATATTCGCCATACGCCAAGGCACTATTATGTACGACTCTTTCGCGGTACAAGGAATTGGGCATGAATACCAGAGGACGATGGAAATAGACTAACAACGAAAGAAAAACAGGGAATATCTCTAATAATAAGAGCAAGCTCAAGTGAGTAGATACACATTTACTAAGTTTATTCAAGGTAATGATAAGTCTCCTTCATGAATAAGAGCTGATATATTGACTAAGATCTAATACTTAACTCTGAAGTCCTACTAACCTGGAAGTTATGAATTTCGGCAATAGTAATACCAACAAATCGTCGAACAGCTACCTAAGTCAGAACAGAAAACTACCTACTCGGAATACAACAACAATCTGACAATCCCGACCCTGTCTGTTGACATACTACGGAATCACTGAGCTACCTAGACAAAGTAAACCAACTTAATCAGGTTGTGGTTCGCGCAACCAGGCTGCTTTGTCACTATTTGCTTACACCTTGACAAATACCAAGATCTACCTAATTTGGTAAGAATTCTTTCACCCATCGTTGGAAGCCGAGAACGGACGATCTTATATTTAATTTGTACTCAGGTTGCAAAGCATCCGTTTATGCGCCGAACGTGTAGAGTGAGCCCGGTAACCACCGCGGCTAAGTGTCTGACAGTAGTGAGAAGACATCATGTGAATGGCAGGTGAGGTAACCTAATCGACTAACTAAGCTTCTTCATGTGTGAAGGGTAAAATCTCACCTAAAGACAAATCCTTACTGATGCCTCGTACCGTCCCTGGTAGAAGGCCCTTAACCATCCCCCCCTGATATCAGTTACCTGTTCCTAGTCTCTAAAATCATGTGCACTAGGTTGATCTGAAGGCCATATATACGGCCATGGCGCCTACCATTAGTCGCTCTTAAGAATGAAGAACATAAAGGTTAAGGATACAAGCGATAACTTTTATAGAGAAAGTTGTCTCTCGCAACTTAATTCACGGCATTAACAGGTACCTAGGTATTATAATCCAGCTGGGCTGATGACATATATCCCACTAATCCTCTAATCTATGAATGTAATGAATATACCTAAGGCGTTGCACCGTAAAATAGAAGCTCTTGGTGAATTGTGTTGCTTCTTTTCTCGCTATTATAAGACGTTACAAAGGTAAACCACTACCCTCCAGTCGCAGCAACTCATGCCCAAGCAAGATTTCCGGTCGGGCTTGCTTAGAAATGATATTTATCAAGCCATGGGCTTCAATCCAACCGCTGGTCTCTAGCTAAGTACCTACTACCGCCCCCTTCCACACGAGGGGTTCATCGCCCATACCCATCCCAACGTTTACATTAAGGATACGATGAAGTAACGAGACACTAATGATTTATCTTTCGTTAAGAGTTTAATAGATGCTCAATGGCGCCTTGTACGCTCCCGCCGCTTCGTCGCAGGGCGGCTACGTTTCTGTCGAAATCATAGAAACCCATGTCGTTCAGTTGTCTCAATTGTTCCGCGTAGCGTTCCTCAGGAGGTCGGTTGTCTGGTGGAGCGGGCGATCCTGATGGCGACCCCATACCTAGAACTTGGACCATCTGCTGTAAAAGCTCGGGGGTCACGGGGGGCAAGTTGCCCAAAGGGTTTGCGCCCGCGCCTGCACCGGTTCCAGCACCGACACCGGCGCCGACACCCGGAAAGGCACCACTTCCACCAAAGAGACTAGCAAAGGGGTTAGGAGGCTGACTTGACGGATTTTCCGTACTGGTTCCTTGACCTCGGTTAGTACTGGTATTGCCGCTTTCGGTTTGTGCGCTACCTGTCGCCTGGGTTGCCCCTGGGCTAGTTGCGCCTTGAGCTGGCTGAGCTGCCCCGAACGGGTTAAAGAAAGCACCAAAGGGATTAGCGGCGGCACCGCCACCACCGGCACCTGGAACTTGAATATTGCTCCAGGTGGTTGGGTCGAACGGGTTGTACTGGCCACCGGCGTTCTGGTTGCTACTAGGATTGCTGTTGGCATTATCCTGTGCACTACTAGAAGATAGATCACCAGGAGTAGTGTCAGTCACACCAGGCATGGGAAAGGCATTCTGAGCAGCTTGGCGACCTCCCATTGCCCGCTGTAATCGTGCGGCTCCTCGTAAGGCGTCAGGGTTGGTCATCATATGGCGGAAAAGCGGCGACCGCACAATTTCGCGGGCGTTGGGGTTGTTTCGTAACATAGGATTCGACTGAATCATCATGTCGATGAAGGCATCGTTGTTCATCATCTCATTCATCTGTTGAGCGACGTTCGGGTTGCTGAGCATATTGGCTAGCTGCTCCTCGTCCATCATGGAACCGACCATCTGAGCAAGGCTTATATCAGTCTTCGGCTCTAGTAATAAAGAATATCTACGGTGAAAAACTCACTCCGCCGTCAGGACCGAACATATCTGCGGATGGTAGATTGGTTAAGCCGGCGTATCTTGCACCAGTCAGACCTGCTAAGGGGTTGTTTGCCGTGCCCGCAGCCATATTGGTGGGAATTTGGGGCGCTGTAGGCGTAGAAGAGGATGTCGATGACGAGGCTGGGGCGGGTGTCGGGTTGCTCGCAGCGCTTTTGACTAGGTGAACGGTATTACCGTTCTTAATCCTATACGTGCTCAAGGGCTCCTCGTTCTTCATGACACGGCCAGAGTAGATCAAACGTTGTCGGTCAACAGGGATATCCTCGAATTCGACACCGGCAAGCTTCTTTTTCAAATCGGATACGGTAGCGGTCTCGGCCATGGTGATGGTATGTTGCTTATCGCCCGACGTCTTCACCTTGAAGGTGACTTGAGGGTCAGAGCCGCCCTCGGTTGGTTCAGCCATTTTTGGGATCGATCGTCAATTGAAATGTTGAGAAGACACAACAGTGATGTTAACCGAAATGTCCTAGGAGCGATTCTGATTTTAATAGCAAAGCAAATAAGATAGTTGTTCTGCTGTAGCTACCTAGGAAGCCAGGAGATCGGATAGTAAGAAAGCCTAACGAGTCGATGGAGGCGGCAATGGTTTAGATCAGGCGAGGTGTGATTGGGTGATGAGGTGTTGGTTGGCGATGGTTGATGATTGTAAGAGGTAGGTACCTAACTTAAGGTACCCTGATGAGTACATACTGAGGTTCTGGTCTAGGTCTTAACGTGGGGCAGTCGGCATTGACCGATTATCTAAGGTACTAGATAAAGCCTTATACTTGCCCAACTTTAATATATAATTTTTGTAATCGCCTTGTACCTGCTGATAGTGTATAGTAAAGTACGCCATCAGCCTCGCGGACCGCCCCTCCATTGGTGACTTATGCGACACTAGCTCTTTCATCGTTCTTTTAACATCCATAGCCTTCCTTCCACTAGAAGCTTAGGTAAAGAGTTTACCGCATTAGGTACATCATGATACGGTTGCCTATCGGACGGAGTCGCGCATCCAGGCTCCAACCATCCCGATGTCTTTATTAAGCGGCGCCAAGTTAAAAACCGAGTTCGATATTACATACCTAACCTACACATATTATCACATAATATTACGAAGTGTCAATTATCCTATGCGCGACTTTTCTATCTGCTATTCTGTTGCATGCTGAGACTTGATTGTCAATTATAGAATTGCTCATTTAGCCCCAACCTTTGCTTCCAATTAGTCATATGGTTTGATAGTTATAATGTAAATAAGAGTCAGTTAATATGACTTAGTTGAGTATGATTGAGCATAGCTATTCTCATGACTTTAAGTTACAAATGTTGAAATAGTTTGTGTTGCTTGGGGAGTAAAGACAACCAACATATATGACATGCCACCTTTCTTAAATCCAAACATTATTAAAGTACGAAATGACAAGCATATAAGTAGAGGAACTGATTTTAACTACTTACCTAATCTAATATGGAAAATTCGTTGTGATCTCAAATGTCACGATGGCGCTTCAAACTAACAGGAAAATTCAGCATCTGGCAACTCTTAATAACCAATTTCGCCTTCTAATCGACGACAACCATGTAGTATACGTAACCGTTGAACCAGGTATCTTACCAAGGGGTGATTGGTCATTCATAGATTTTCTCTCATTTCCCCCTGGTGACTGGAATCGGGGTCACATTTCAAAGAACCGACGCACAGGGAGTTTAGGTTTCTCATCCATCTCATATGATAGTGTTCCAGGAGTCGAGAATATATGGCACCATACATATATCGATCATTTAGAATTTGAGCGGATTGGTTCTCTGGGTCGGAACGTCTGCATAGTCACGCATCCCTTCTTCCACTATCCGGTAATCATCAAATTTGCTTCGTTTCCCTGTGAAATAGACTACATCGAGACTGAAACAACGATGTACCATCGACTTCATGGCACTGGAATTAGCCCTGGATTCCTAGGCCACGTAACGGAAAATAATAGGGGGGTTATCGGGTTTGTCTTACAGATTATCACGGACAGCAGGCCAGCAGAACCTCGAGATCTAACCATCTGCCAAGATGTCTTAGCAAGATTACATACTCAAGGCATAATGCATGGAAACATTCACAAGGATAGTTTCCTCGTCCAAGAGGGGAAGGCATTTCTGATCGACTTCGGGATATCATATTTGTGCGATGAAGGGAAGGAACATGAAATTGAATGTGAACATCTTGAACAGCTGCTGGCGGGTGCATAAGGAATAACTAGAGGATGAGCACATATAAACCAACCAGAATGGGTTGACATTAGATACAGGATAAAACTAATCTGATCAAAATTTGAAGCTGCTCCTCTTAGAGATGCTATGGTTGAAGTAAATTGTTGTTTATTGGGCACTTTTTAAGATTTCGATGGAGAAACAAGTCCGGATGCATTATGTAGTACCTCAAAAGATCTACATACCACGTACGGAATATTATTGCATTATTACATAATCGGCCGGCCAAGGATTTCCAACGTGGACCTCGGCATCTCCAGACTACAATTGCCGATTTCCCCATGGGGTGAGCTACAAGCTGCTAATCCTCATTATTCATCTATTCATTCAAAGCGCTACTTAGACATTTCATATATCTACCTGATACACAAGCGTCTCGTATATTAAATTGTACTTAAGCATATCTCTTTTTGCTTGTAACTAATTATTAAAACGTTGTATAATATCATTGGCTCGTCGCTTTAAGTCTATCTATCTGGCCCAGTGAATCCCTCAGAGTCGAGACCTCTGCAACGAATTATATACACTATGCGGGGAATCCAAGTCGGCCAATATGTCAAGGTGAGAAGAGATAAATATTCTCAAGTAAATTGGACAGGTTTCGGCTTCGAATATCACTAACACCCTCACAGGGCCCCAAAGAGCTCAAGATAACCGAGCTCCCAGACCCAACACCAAAACCAGACCAGTACCTCATCGAGGTGCACGCCGCGGCTACCAACTTCTTCGACATCTTACAGATACAGGGGAAGTATCAAAACCAGCCTCGTAAGCTCACACCAAAAACCAAAATCTAGGTAGTTTTATCATTGAATTCTAACACAGCGCCAAAGCATTCCCCTGGGTCGCCGGCGTCGAGTTCTCAGGCATCGTCCTCGCCACACCATCTACCTCTAAATCGCCCAAATTCCCAGTCGGCAGCCGCGTCTTCGGTGCCAGCCAAGGCGCCTACGCGACGCGCGTATGCGCTGCGGAGCACGAGCTGCTAGCCGTGCCGCAGGGATGGTCGTTTGCCGACGCAGCGGGCTTGTTCATCACAGCACCCACGAGCTATAGCGCACTAGTCCTACGTGCAGATGTAAAGGCCGGCGACTGGGTACTCGTGCACGCAGCGGCGGGAGGTGTTGGGTTGGCTGCTGTGCAGGTCGCTAAGGCGTTCGGAGCAACTGTCATTGCGACGGCGGGAACGCCGCATAAGCTGGAGGTTGCGCGCCGTTTTGGTGCTGACCATGTGGTGGATTATCGCGATCCGAACTGGCCTGATCAAGTGAAGAAGTTGACGCCGAAGGGTCGTGGCGTGGATATCGTGTACGACCCCGTGGGCCTAGTGGACAAGAGCACCAAGTGCGTCGCGTGGAATGGGCGCATTCTGGTGGTTGGGTTTGCGGCTGGGTCGATTGAGAAGGTAGCTATGAATAAGGTGCTGCTTAAAAACATCAGTTTGGTCGGTATTCACTGGGGTGCGTGGACAAAGTTTCAGAAGGAGGGGATTCCCGTGGTGTGGGATGGGATCAACAAGTTGGTTGAGCAGGGCAAGTTCAAGGGTACAGTATTCTCGGATAAGGAGTTCATTGGACTTGAGAGCATTCCTGACGCTTTGGTTGCGTTAGGAGGGAGGGAGACGTGGGGTAAGGTTGTCGTGAAAATTCCACAAGAGGGTGGGAGCAAGCTGTAAATTTCGAGAATTACATTGGTTGGGATTTATTGGCTCTGACATCGCAAACAATGCGGACATCTTGATGGACAGGTAGTGGGGTATTATATAGGCGCTCTATTTGTTCATTTAGAAGGCATTCATTTGCGTATTCTGAATTTTGGACGTTTATATTCGTCGATAACTGGGATATTCTGCTTAATGCTCACTAAACTCTCCGTGTCTGATTACAAGCCGAAGTCCAGACTAACCCAAGCTGCTTCTCCCCCTTTCCTTTCCTTTATGATATAGTTTCCTTTAGAAACGCATGGTTGCCATAACCCATATACTTAATCTGGATCTGCATGCTCTCCAGCACCCGACGCTTCATCTCTGGCACGGTCTTCATAATATCCATCTTGAGGAACGCCCCGTGTGTAGAGCTGAAGTCGTATTTCTTAAGTATACTCCACATCCGCTGCAGCTCATCCGGGGCCAAGGGGATCATGTTCGGAATACTCCACATGAACGAATAGCTATTCAGACCAGCGGGTCGGACCCGCGCAGCTCCTATAGCATCCGTATCCCAGCTGCCTAGCCCCGAAGGTGTTGTAACTAGCGTGTCGGCGATGAGTAGGTGTTCCTCGTACAGTGCCACAAAAGATCCTGGGAAATGACCGCCAAGCTTGATAGCTTTGACCCCGGAAGACTTGCCATCGATCTGTAAGTCAAGCTCTGTTCCTTCCACAAAGACCTGGTACGATGAGCTCTGCGTTGTCCATTGCTTATCCTCGGCAGCTAGGTAGATGGGACAGTCGAAAGCGCGGGCCCATTCTACGTGCGTCGAGTAATAGTGCGGATGAGAGATGACGATGGCTTTGAGACCACCTAAACCTTTAATCTTGTTGATAGTCTCGCCATCAACGAGAGTGAGACAATCCCAAAGGACGTTACCATTTACAGTTTTGATGAGGATGGCTCGCTGACCGATGCCTATCTTGGGCTCCGTATGAATAGATGTGAACCTGTCGTCATTTTCGAAGGGTGTCCATACGTTTTTTGCAGCCGCACGAATATCGTGAAGGTTGGTGAAAGCCTGACCAGTCGGTAACGTGAATTGACGAGGGTCGTCACAGATGAAGCACGTTTTCAACTCTTGCCTGTTCGCGGTAGGAAATTGTGTCCCGCAAGCTGTGCAGATGAGCCATGATTCTGTCCTCTTAGGATCATATGCGGGTTCACTGGATGCCATGTCTAGATGTGTTTGCTGTTCAGCCGAACCCGGGATCTATTTCCAATACTTGACACACTGATACAGATTATCGTTCATTTCGAATTTGATAATTCCCCTTTAAAGGCTTACGTTATGTCTATCCAAGAGGCAGACTTTGATGTGTCTTTGTAGATTATATAGAATAGTAACATTATTTGGGAGCTCTGCGGGGTGCATAGATGGGGAGGAGATTTGGAGAAGTGGGGGAAGAGTTCAAATTGATAGCTTGTATCTACATGAGCTGAAGTGACTAATAGAATTACATGTGTTTGTGCATTTGTATATTTCCATGTATATTCACTTTTAGTTGATGTGTAACACACTTCTACTACCATTGATTATATATATGTACCTAACGTACCTAGGTAACTAACGTGTCTTATCGGATATCGGATGCAAGTAGTACATATATTCTATTCCGTGTGCGGAAGTTGTAGCCGGTTATCAGCGGCCGGTGAAGAAGGTGAGCTGAGAAATGCGGGGGGATATCGAGCTCTATCTGGTTCGCGTAGGAGGGCGCGAATGAGCTGACCTTATCTTTCACTCCTGCTCCGGCATTCCAATCGCAACGTAGGTAGGTACATAAGACATGAGGTACATTAATAATAACTCAAATTCCCATCCTAAAGTTTTTTTTCTTCAGCTTCCATGCTTCAATGTTCTTCCCAATTAATATCTTGTCTTTTTGACGTCACATCTAAGTCGTCGTTAAAAAACAGGTGTCTAGGTATTCAGGTTCAACTAACAAGATGGTCTTCTTCCTCGACTACATCCAACATAAAAAAGACTGGTGAGCATTTCATCCCCGCCATTCTTAATTTCCTACCAATAATCCGTCACGAAATAACCGATTTCGGATACTCAAAATAAGAAGTCTGTTTCTCACAGTAAAATAGCAAGTTTAAGCAGGATGAGCGTGCAGAGAGACTTCGGGCCTTGACCAACTATCGTGGCCCCTTTACCCCTCTAGACCGGGATATTATCAATAAGCCCATCGAGGAATTAGTTGAAGATGTACATAAGGGCGAGCTTAAGCCCATTGACCTACTTCACACGTATGGCAAGGTTGCGCTCAAGGCGCATGAGAAGACGAATTGCGTAACTGAGGTTATGATATCTGATGCTGAACGTTGGATTGCGGACGGCTCTATCAACACTAAGGGTCCACTGGCCGGTATTCCGATCAGTTTGAAAGATACAATTAATGTTGGCGGGTTTGATTCGACTGTCGGCTATAGCAGCTTCGTCGGTAACAAGCAGCCACAAGATGGTGCTACTGTTAGACTACTCAAAGACGCCGGTGCTGTTCCCTACGTCAAAACCAACTTACCTATTACATTGCTCAGTTTCGAATCCACAAATGACGTCTGGGGACGATGTACCAATCCACACAACAGCAAATACTCTCCTGGAGGATCAACTGGTGGTGAAGCAGCCCTATTAGCGTTGGGCGGACGAATTGGAATTGGAAGCGATGTTGCTGGCAGTGTCCGAGCCCCAGCCCATTTCTCCGGTATCTACAGCCTGCGATGCTCAACTGGACGATGGCCGAAAGCAGGCTTTGCGACAAGTATGCCTGGCCAAGAAGGCGTGCCAAGTGTATACAGCCCTATGACCAGAACCTTGAATGACCTGACGTATTTTACCCGTGCTGTAATTGGTATGCAACCATGGAAGTACGATCACTCTGTTCATCCTATACCATGGAGACCCGACGTAGAAGAAGAGTATGCGACAAAAAGCAAATTCCGCGTAGGCGTGATGAGGACCGATGGTGTGGTTGATCCGAGTCCTGCATGCGTGCGAGCACTTGAAAAGGTGGAAATTGCCTTGAAGGAGGCTGGCCACGAGATTGTTGAGGTTGACGTACCATCGCCATACGAAGCACTTCGAATTGGTGCTCTCCTATTGAACGCCGACGGCTGTAAGGTATTCAAGTCCTTTTTCCGCTCTGGTGAATGGAACGACCCGGGAGCTCACCAGATGGATTGGCTTATACGGCTTCCGCGCCCTTTCAAATTTATCTATTACCTATGGGTCAAGTACGTCCGAGGGGATGATATCTGGGCTGGTCTTGTCAAGGATTGGCATGAAAAGAGCGCGTATGAACAGTGGCAATTGGTTGCTCAGCGTGAGGCATACAAGGGCAAGTTCTTTGAATGGTGGAATAATGCGGATATCGATTTCTTGATCACACCTCCTAATGCGACACCAGCCGTGCCCCACGACGGTATGAAGGAAGCTGTGAGCAGTTGTGGCTACACATTCCTCTTCAACATTGTAAGCGAATTCCTAGACCCACGTTTACTTTGGCCATACTAAACAACATAGGTCGATTATACTTGCGGCATCATTCCAGTGACACATGTTGATAAGACTCTCGACAAGCTACCGCCTACCTTCAACATCAAGAAACTGAATGGTGTTGCTCAAGGTGCATACAAACTTTATGACGCCGAGGCGATGCACGGATTACCAGTGGGCGTCCAAGTTGTTGGACGAAGGTTAGAAGAGGAGAAAGTACTTGCCATTATGAAAAGAGTCGAGGATGCACTCGGAGACGACAAGTATCAGCTGCTCGATATAGATTGATGGTTTCCGACTGGGACATTGTTGTAGATCCGACGATTTTATAAGATACCCTGCTTGCAGCGGTTCCACGGCAACTATATTATTAGACAAGCCACTCAAGCAAGACCAGAATTCAACGAATTGCTACTTGTTTCCAAAGCTTTCGTGGAATCATGTGCACATCATCCCTGGATATGTTGGAGATGGTGCATTGTTATGAGGTAGGGAGGACTCCGATCTCGGGCGACCTTACGGCTGGTTGGTACGGGTCCCTTATATAAAAGCTCCCTAGATTCCGAATAGACTTGAACTAAATATACTATGAAGTCAATTGAGGAATATTAACCCATAAACGGTATATATTATAATAACAATAATAAAAAGTCACCCACGAAGCGACCGATTCCTATCCTCAGAACCTCACCCCCATAATGGCGGAAAAGAAAGACCATTGGTCCACCGAGGTAGGTCGAGCGAGAGCTACTAGTTAGATATAAGATATTCTTGTATATATATTCTAACAAGACTACACAACCAAGGCGTATCAACACTCGGCCTCCTTCGTGCCGAAGCTCGCCACAAAGATTTTACAGTGGCTCGATCCGCAGAAGGACGATGTGATCCTGGATATCGGTTGTGGTGGTAGGTTTCCTGTTATAAACATACTTACCTATACTAGTACTTCTTCTTAAGACTAGTTGGCTCCAATGCTTACCGCAACCATTATTTAGACGGCGTGATCAACATCCAGTTGCAAGACATCCTGGCCCAGGGTAACGGCAGCATTCACGGCACGGACGCATCGCCGGCTATGATCGAGGCAGCGACACAAGCAGCTAGCAAGGCCGGTGCATCGAAGTGTACCTTCGAAGGTAAGCATAGAAGCCCATATTTGCATGAGTAGCAAACTTACACGACTAACACAAACCTAGTCGTCGACGCCCTTGAGCTAGCGCGGGTGCAACACCTACAGCGCGGGCACTTCACCAAGATCTTCTCCAACGCAGCGCTCCACTGGGTCTTCGGGTCCTCCAGAGGCGACGCAGAGCGCCAAGCCTCAGTATTCCGCGCAGCACGAGACGCCCTAGCTCCTGGCGGCATCTTCGCATTCGAGATGGGCGGCCTCGGCAACGTAGCCGAGATCCGGGCCGCGCTGCTGGGGGCCGTAACGCGACGCGTCGGGTTGTCTAAGGCGATCGAGCACGACCCGTGGTTCTTCCCCGATGAGGCGTGGGCCACGGATATGCTAGAGGACAAAGTCGGGGGGTGGAAGGTCGAGAGGGCGGAGCGTGAGTATCGTCCTACGCAGGCTGGTGCGGGTGGTGTGGAGGGGTGGGTGAGGTTATTCGGGGCGCAGTTTTTTGAGGCGCTGAGCGAGGGGAAGGAGAGGGAAGAGTGTATTAAGGAGGTGGTGGATGTTCTGGAGTTTGTGTGTAAGAATCCGAGCGGTGGGTTTCATCTAGGGTATGTGAGGTTGAGGGTTTTGGCGAGGAAGTTATAAATGTGGTTTTTTTCCCCTACAGCCTGTAGATGTTTGCGGTAGGGGAATCGTATGCTATCCGGTAACATTTTTCGCAGAAATCTGAATACGAAGACAAGTAGGGTCAGTAAAGACAAGAATACCTAGGTAGCTTCACGACCTCTACATATTGAACTACTCTTCAACCGAAAGTGTCAAGTAGCTCAGAAGAGACAAGCAAAATATTACTGGCTTAGTAGCTTATACAAACGAAACAATGAAGACATCGTCATGTTTCCTGATACATAGTATCAACTAAATGATTTATACATAAATGGGTATTTAACATGACCGCTTCATTCTCATACAACAAGTGAGAAAAAGTCAAAACAATAACAGCTTAGATTTAACTTCTAATATGAAATACGTGACGTCATCATCTGATTTGTCTCGTGGGATATTCATCTGATCTCCTCTAACTCATGACCTAAATACCTAACCTAGGTTAAATATATATACCTATCTTCCTTAGAATCATACAAAATACCATGTAACATCTTCACCAGGTAAAATAGTATTCACCACATTTCTAATTACCTCATTGAATCTTCCTGTCACTAAGAATATATTCACAACGTACAACGTACAACGTTTAATCATGTCTAATTCATCTAATACGATGCTAACCCCAACACCCAATTCCATCCGCGCCCTCCAAGCCATCAGCATAGCGCTCCTTACCACCACCGCCGGGGCCAGCGCAAGCCTCTCCGTCTTCCTAGTCCCGCGGCTCATGGAATCCCCCACACCCCTCATGGTGGGGCAGTTCCTGCGCGCCATGTCTTCCGCTCGTCGACGATTGACGATCCCGCTAATACTTCCGGGCGTCCTGCACGCGTATCTCGCGTATCTGGTACCCGGAAAGGCGCGCGTGTACGCCATTGCGGCTGCCCTGACGCTCAGCACGTTGCCGTGGACGCATTTCGCGATTACCCCGCTGAGCCATGAGATGGAGGAGCGGGTTATGACTCTGGATGCGGAGTCCGAGACTGCACACCAGTTGGTAGATTCGTGGGCTACGCGGAATTTGTATAAACCTGTTGTGAATCTTGCAGCTGGTATTATTGGGTTGTATGCCGCCATGTGGTAAGGAGTGATAACGTAGCTTTGGCTTTGGCACAAGACTCCGAGAAAATTAAGAATAGGGGCGACAAATTTGTCGGTTTTATTGACTCGAGGCGACGCTGACCTATTTGAGCAGAAGGACTATCACGGATTTAAGTATGACATTACTAGGATACTACTGCAATTAAATAAGATGCCACTATCATTATATTCAAGACCAAGTCAAAGTCCATTTATCTGACCAAGCACCACCTACCGTTAACTTGTCGAGATCCGTAATCGTTAGGACTTTGCTCGAGTCCTGTAAGGTCCACGCGCTAGTAGAAACCTCTTTTCCGTTTAACTCTACTTTAGATACGGGATCTTGAGCTCCTAGGATCGTCACATTGCCCAGCATATTCTTGTCTTCGAAATTTCCGCGAGGCGTGGCCTTCAGTGACGAGTTTTCAACAGTGAACTAGTTAACAGAAGTTAGCAGTTTTACCCACTTGTGAACAACGGAAAATTAGGAATCTTACATCAATCCATGTAGTAGCATTGGGCACAAGGCTCTCTCCATCATCAAGGTACAGTCCTCCATTGGCACGTCCGTTACCATCTAATGCAACAAGGAGACTCCAGGGACTAGCTCTCACGGCTGCGGTGGTTAGACCTGGTTCTTGCAACGGTATGACTTTTCCTCCTCGCACGTAAACCGGGATATGACCTAGCGGCGCATCAATAGTGACGTTTTGCCCAGGCGCAACTCCTGCGATTGACGTTTTGTTGTACCAATCATACCAGACGGTACCAGAACCTACGCCAGGGAAAACACCGTCGACGGTCGTAGCACCCTGGACTAGGCAAGGAGTAACTAAGACCGCATCACCGAGAAGGAACTGCCTATCGGCGTTAGCTAACCATGGCTCATCCGGAAACTCCCAGGCCAGAGCGCGGAGGGTCGTTGAACCAGTAGAATGGCTGAGATAGAAAGTCGTGTATATGTATGGTAGCAACGCGTATCGGATCTTCATGGCCACTCTAGAAGCTTCCGCTACAGATGGCCAAAGGTACGGCTCCTGACTAGCAGCCCCTTGCGTATTGTGATTCCGGTAGAACGGGAAGAAAGCAGACAATTGCATCCAGCGGGAACACAACTCTTCGTCAACATCGTCGGCAAACCCGCACGTGTCGACGCCGAACATAGGGATACCGAAAAGGGAGTAAGATAGGCCTTGTGGGATGGAGAAAAACAAGAACGCCCAGAGAGAATAGTTATCGCCCCTATTTTCACGGTGAGCTATGTTTTAAGAGTTGGCAAATTAAATAGAGTTATCTTACCCCCAGTGACCAGCCCATTTTCCAGAGCCTGCAAACTGAGATCGTCCGATAATGAATGGCCGCTTCTCAGGGAAGACATTCAAGAGGGCATGATAGGTAGCGTTCAGAATTTGATGTCCGAATAGGTTATGGACGTCGTACTCCATGATCCCACCGTGGTGTGTCGCATTGGGGCTAACGGCATGGACGGCAAGATCCCCGTGGAAATTGTTAACAGCGTACGGGGGCCAGTTGACGTTCCGAACACCCGGCGTCGGGGTACTACGAAGATATGAGATCGGAGTAGGATCTTCTCGGACTTCAATAGCTGCTTTCCTAATGTTGGTTGGATCGACACTCTCAGGGAACTGGCGGATCTCATTTCTGGTCTCGCTTGGAAGGGCCATGTTCCGTTCATCGCTGCCACAACTTCCCACGCAGAATGACGAGACTTCCGACATGTCGATCCAGATACCGTCGAATTTGATCTTACTATAGTACTCGGTGACCTCGGATATCCACCACTGGTTGGCTCCAGTACCATTGAATAAAGCACCAATCCAGTCAGGGAAAACTAGATACATTAGCACAGCTATGGGAGAAGAGTGTTTGAAGACACATACCAGTGAAACCGGGCCAAACCTCTCCCACGTAGATAGACCCGTCAGGGTTAAGTAGAAAGGCATCTTGCTCAACACCTCGATTAAAAGGGGCATATGCATCGCTGGAATTAGTGGGATCCGGCACATATATAGCCGAGTCGATGATAGGCACGTAATGTTGATCATTTTGATGCAGGCGTGACAGAAATTCGGCCCCTTCATTATAGCTAAAGCGATCTAGGTCGTTTTCAAAATCTCTGTACCCTTTCATGTAGTCGATATCGGCTACGAAGTGTTAATGATAAACTTTTCATAGCTACCAAAGGATTCTAGTTAAAAAAACGGTACAATGACTTACACCAGATTGTCTCGAGAGGGATTTCGGATTTGGCAAAGTTGTCAATAACGTTTTGGAGTTCAGTCCAGTTATTATAACCCCATCTGCACTGGTGGTAACCAAAGGTCCAGTACTGCTGCATCGCAGGTAATCCAATCGCACTCTTTTGGTACGACTTGGTAATTTTATCCTGAGTAGGGCCTTCGTAGAAGTAGAGATCGATACTGCCACCGAGCGCTCTCCACGTAATGTTGGTTTCTCGTAGCAAGACTTCCTGAATATGGGCGCTGCGTTGAAAAACACCGTGGGTATACGACTTATACTGAGTCGACTTATCTGTAGCATCCGGAGCATATGATAGAGCCCCTGTAGATTTGTCTACCTCAAAATAACGAGTATCAAGATAAATAGGATGATTTCCATAGATATTGGCATCGATGTTATCGCCTACGTCAGCTGCGAAGAAGGTTCCTGATATTAGTTAGCATATGCTAGAGTCTAAGAAAACAGGAATGATATACGAGTAAGGTTGTTTCCAAGCCTGAAGCCATGAATTACCTCGCCAAGGCCATACAAGTTGTAATTCTCAGGCAAAGACGAGCCGAATTCAATGAACTGGTTTTCATAAACCAATCGGGAACCTTCCGTAGTAAACAAGACATCGTTGGTGCTTCTTCTAGTGACTTTAAATGAGAATGTAGGCTCGTTGCTCCAAGTGAAGTCAAGATCGCTATCCGAGGAGTCAAAGTCTTCTTCGACCTGAGGTTTTGGAATCAATTCTTCAGGGAGGATAAACCAAGTATAATTCTCAGTGCCGATGTAGTGGGGCAGTATCTCGACGTGCAGTCGATCCACCGCTTGATACTCAACGGTTAAGCTCAGAGCTTCGATGTCGGTGCCATAAACATTGCAAGCTTCTCCAGCCAACGTGAGTTCTGCCGTAAAGCCATTACTCGTGTTTTTCACATTAGAAGCTACATAGCCTGGACAGACAGTTTGGGGGTTGATGGCTTGGGGATCAACGATATTGGGGATGATGGGTTGACCAACGTCTGGATTGGGATCGGGGTCATCTTCAGAGGTGAGGGCATATCTTGTGATTGGCGATGTCGGCTGTCCTGGAACGAGGCTCGACAGTGACAGTAGAGTTGCTAACAGCAGCATGATATATCGAATTATTGCTCCTCTATTCAATCTTCCAGAACACCAACTCCATGTGATTACGAAGGATGAAGCAAGACTCGAAAATAGGAGCAGACGAGAGGCGATATTTAATTGTTCATACCAGGAATCAAGCCGGATTATAAATGACATAAGAAATGTATCAAGACTGAGAGAGTCGGCAGACTGTTCGGCGATGGTATACGTGGTACCACTCTGACTGGGCGGAAGCCACCGACTTATAGAGCTGAGTATCTTCATGTTGAGTCTGTTAGTATGATTAACTGCCCAGGTACCCAGCTATGATGTATCTCCAAACAAATAGTTTCTACGCAGGGTGTAATGAAGTCATAATGTAGGTAGGTAGGCAGTGGTACTAAAACGCTATCTCTTTATGAGGATGACATGAATTGCTGTTGTAACGTGTTGCATCACTAGAATAATTGTAAAGACAATTGCAGTCGGTGAACAAGACGTAGAATAACTCAAAAAATGGTTACGATCTCCAAATCCCTGCATTCTTATGCAATGTCGATCCATCCGGGGACGCATCCAAACTTTATGTAAAAAAGCTCTTTTTATCTGCGGAATACCACCGATAAATACGACCGATGTTGCTTCTTGAAGTCCGCGGGCGGACAAAATGTATATAGTTACATATCCCGCGGTTTATCTATACTTATGTGTTTATAGCATATAGTCTAGTATCAGAAGCGACTTAATTTTGCCCCACATAAGCTTTTACATAGGTACCTACTGTTAGCTCATCGTAATTCGCATTTCCCGACATTCCAGTCTTGTACTAAAACATCACCTCTAAATAATTCGATTACAGCTTATTATTACCGGTGGTTCGACGTCACCCAAGAATACCTAGGTATATTGTTGTAAACAGTGCCAATCCACAAAGGAAAGCGATTGAGTATAGCCAAACACAATCAGTTACTACCTCCCGCCATGGCTTCGCCAATGGCACCTCCGCCGCCTTCCGAACTCGCGAAGCAGATCCTCGAGCACAAGGCGCCCAGCTACACCTTCAGTTTCTCGCCATTCCTACGTTCTAACTACGGCCACGGATTCCCGCCAAATAGACCTGTATGCAAAGCGTTTATAGCAGGACACTGTCCATTAGGCACGTCATGTCCCGACCGTCACGTCGCGCCCAACGCGGCCAGCAGCACCAACGCCAGCTACAACTCCCTGGTATGTAAGCATTGGCTGCGAGCTCTGTGCAAGAAGGGCGAGAGTTGCGAGTTCCTTCACGAGTACAACCTACGTAAGATGCCCGAGTGTAACTTCTTTGTGCGCAACGGGTACTGTTCCAACGGCGACGAGTGCCTTTACCTACACATCGACCCCCAATCTAAACTACCCCCCTGCCCACACTACGACCGCGGCTTCTGTCCGCTGGGCCCTAACTGTTCCAAAAAGCACGTCCGCCGCAAATTATGTCCCTACTACCTAGCCGGCTTCTGCCCCGACGGAAAGACCTGTAAGGAGGGTGCTCACCCGAGGTGGGATAAGAATCTCGAGAAACCCATCGCCAAGGCCGACGTCATACCCGAAGAGCCTATCAGAAGAGATGACGGTTTTATGGATGAGGACCAAAGAGACTTCGGAAGACAGGATAGGGATAACAGGGGGGGTCGGGGCGACAGATTCGGTGGCGGGCGTGGCGGTCGGTGGAGAGGGAGAGGCGATAGGAAATTCGGGCGTGGAAGAGGCCATCACTAGAGATGATGCGTCTTGGCATACATATATACGGGCAGGCAGACGGAACGGTTGCTATGCCGTAACACGTCTCGATATACCGCCTAGGCTCGAACGAACAGGTGGGGTTTGCTGCTACCAATTTCCGCCCGTATGCAAACATTTTGCTCGCCTCGGTTGACTCGTTTCTAAGACAAGGCTCATAACCCTTGAGGCATTCGATATAATCGAGCTAGTTGCCGTAGGCGGATGCTTGCAAACCCAATACATTCGAGCATGAAATAATCCTAAATTGAAATTTTAGGATTATCGTCAACGACGAGGGTAGCAGTGGCCAGCCACTGTAAAAAAGACCCAAGGAAAAGGCGATAGGGGAGGACCTAGGATACCCCCAAGATATACTACTAATATAGCAATCAAGCAGTCGTTACCAATGACATCAATCAATCAAGACTGCCAGTTTGTTATAAACCATCTATGCATTCGTGTGAACTAAACAAGTTATATAAGCCACTATCCACTTAAAAGAGAAGCGAGATATATCCAAGCATTTGAAGGGGGCCATGCCATCCAGTCTCATCACCTGCCATATGTACAGCCTTTGTAAATCCCGTCGTCCTATTCATCAATCATCACGACGCGACGCCAGCCAAAAAGCAAACCGCCTAACCCTTCCCTTAACCTAACCTTGACCCTTGTAGATTTCTCAATATTGCTATGATTTCCAGACGTTATGCCCATCATGATCCTTCGCAACGGCAATAAACTCGCTGCCCTCGCCAATCTCGCTCCCAGCGCTCTTCTCGCTGCCACTGCTACCGCTAGCACTATCCGGGCGCGCGCCTCCCTCCCAAGCGCTGAGCTCATCCACCTTGCGAATTCCCATCATCCACGCCACTAGACTACGAGGAGCCCAGCGGCCGACGAACCCATAGAGACCGGCACCGAGGCCTACACGCACCACGTCGCTCTGATTCGAACCGTCGATCACGTCGAACACAGTGTTATGCAGTTCCCGCAGGGAGCTGCCGCGTAGTCCGCGGATGCGGCCGGCTGAGATGGCGGACGACGACTGCGACATGAAGTTACGACCGTATGCGTTGCGTGCGGACTCCGGCCACTGCAGCGTCTCGACCGGCGACGGCGGTAACAGCGGGTGTAGACCTGTCGTCGGAAGAGTTGATGCGTTTGCTCCAGCGGGGCCTGCACGGACCGGCGTGAACCCCACGAAGTCGAAGGTGCCGAGTTGCATGTGCGTTACGGGGATAGCGAGGGGGCTCAGTTCCGCCGTTAGAACCTCCGTAAAGGCGGAGAGGGCGGAGCACACGGTTGCTTCGGGGGCGTGGAACGGAGGGTTAATCGAGGAGATGATAGAAGGTGTGAAGACGAGGACTCGGGGTGTTCCAGTGGTCTCTCCTTGGGGCGTTATTCTAGATGTGAGAAGAGGTAGGAAGGACTGGATCGTGAGGATAGGATGGAGGAGATGGGTGTTGAAGAGATCGGCAAAACTCGAGGGAGGAATCGTAGCGATAGGGGAGGTCTGGTAGTTGAGCGAGGGGATCAGGATAACCGCCTTCAACACTAGATAGGTCGGCTTCGCTCGCGGGACCGCGGCATGCGGGGTTTGGAGATAGGCGGCGAACCGTTCGATAGCATGACCAGCATTCGGAGGCTATACCAACATGTTAGACACAAGATACGTCGAGGTGCTATTTCGGCTTAGAATACTTACATCAGTTATATCGATACCCAAGGGTCTAATGTCGGATCGTGAGAGGCTCTGCACAGTGACTTCGTCTTCGATAGTACTGCAAACAATATATACGATGAAGCCCCTCCTCTCTAAATCCAAGGATAAAGCCTTGGTCAGCGGTAACGTTGGCGATCCGGCGATGACGACGACCTCGAGTCTTCCACCATTTCGAGCACGCCTCGCCCGACGAGGTTTACGGAGCTGCTTAGTATATCGTATTGTTCTGTATGTTATATATCCAGCAGTAACCACCACTACGCCGCAAAGTATCTTATGGCGAGAGATCCAATTTTGTATACTCTCGTATGTGGTCATCGGTATGATCTCGGCGGGCGGTGGTCGAGCAGTAGGTTTTGGTCGCACGTATTCGGGCACCCATTCCGCTGACGATAGAGTATCCCTGATCTCATCCGCAACTTTGTCTACTGTCTTGTCGACATAGTCGGCAACCTCTCCGGAGTATCGCCGGATCTGGTTGGGGATGGACGAGAGCTGTCACATGTTTCCTCTGTTAGCCTTTTCTTTTCTATTCATTTCGATGTGCAACAAAGTGCCAGGCGAGGATATTGAACTATAGGGCACTAACCAAGTCCAAGAACTGCTGGTCGTCGGCAGACATGACCGGATATCAGTTGTTGATATTTCCAGGGTTAAATGGTGGATTGAGGATTGGGTATTGATGAAGTTCGGCGAAGACGGGCAATGTTGATTTTTTGAAAGACAGCCCGCCTCGTATGGACCTATCGATTTATCTTATCAAGTTTCTTAGGTAACTTTAGCACGTACCACATGGCAAATGCGGGATGATGCCATCCCCGCATGCACTTAAAATAAACCTAGACTCGGAGAGTACCGAGGTACTTAGACATAGCGTTGAGAACTTAGATACATCCCCCCTTTTCAACAACCAGATAGGTACATGTTCAATGCAATTTAAACTCTTTCAAGTTCTATTTGACGAGAAGAATCAAGATGATCATTGCGGAAGAAACGCAAGCTTCTTATGTAAGTTGATTAATAATCACCTTCTAGTGTTGATATTGAATAACGAAATGCATACCTACCTACCTACCTATGTATATTAGTTATTATAAAGAATTAAAATAAAAGGTTGTAAACTAAGCTCCTGCGACATAATGGTAGCAATTCATGATTCCATACTTAGCGAGAAGAGTATACGTTGCGCTTAGTCCCTATACGCCATGGCATACATATTGTCGCTTGTCAAGTCACTATTAAACCTAAATGCAACTTACGCATTTGATAATGACTAGGTAGGTTTTAAGTTGCAAACCGGACACCTTTTGTTCAAGAGTACCTATTAGAAAGTGTAAAATCATAAACTCCTCAGACTTACATTCATCATCCACTAGAAATATAAGGTGCCAAAGTCCAATCCTAATAGCTGTGAACTCCCATATTTACCTAACCAGCCAAGCTTCTATATCAGAAATTCTTTTATGATAAACTAGATACCTAACTGTATTTTTAAACATGTACTAAACTTCCTAGTATTATTTACCTGTGTCTCAACGCCAATAGAACTCGGCGTTCACCATATACGAGATAAAGGAATGTTATTATACTAGAAGATACAAAGACGTTAAGGAAACAATCATGACAGACACAATAGATTGTATAATACAAAGGGGTTCATGGTATACGTTTTATTACAGTAGAGAAGAGAACCCTGAAATAGAACCTAATAACCCCCTTATCCTGTATCACAATTTGGTAACAGGCAATAAGCATCCCCCCAAACCACTTAATGACCTCGCATTGGTCCTAGGACATATGATCGTAGTCCATCCCGCCTAATCCACGGCGCTCCACAACAAGCCCCTCCATGAAATTTCCGCATGTTTCCTCGTTCACTATCTGTCCATGGTATCCGGCACTAAAAGCCGAACCTCTGCGAGCTTTCCTTCACCAGGTTGCTTCGGGCCATGGCTCCTTTATCACATCATAGATGCCCTTAGACTTTTTGATACAATCCTTTAGGTCGACAGAACGGCGGATAAATTCCGGATTGAATAGCGTCATTCGCTGGTCGCCGTTACGTTTAAGGATGAAGCCGAGACGTTTACGTAAGGTATGTGCCCATTGAGGATTGAATGTGCCACGCAGTTCTATCTTCCAGGCTTGCCAAAAGCACCGAATCATACCCTTGACGAACCATGTGTCTTCGTAAACTTGGCAGCGGCGGTATTGAAAACCGTCCACCGACATGTTGTCTTCTGTTCTGAGGTAGTCGTGGCAAGGATCGAAATAAACCGTGACTATTTTAGGCTTGACTTGTCCCTGAAAAAGATTATAAAATATTCCATTCCATTTGCTGAAGTCTTTGTGGTCACCCCGTCCCCGACAGTCCCAGGCACCTCCCCACATCGAACACTTGTAGTCGATCATGATTTCTTGGATAAGTCGAAACACCCTTACTGGGGCCACCCTAGTGGGGGCCACCCATTTCCCATACAAAATCAACGATTTCGCATATTTATATTTAATTCAAG